TATTACAAGCCGCCAAAACAAAATCTAATTAAGTGTTAAATTTTGTCCTTTTAACATAAGTGTGTTACAAACATGGTCTAAGAATTTTAATGATAAAACTAAATAATGAGAGACCTTCATAAAGTAGAGGACACTTCATAATGTATGTATGGAGTTATGATCTTTTTTTGAGTTGGAAAAAAAGAAAGAAGGTAAAGGACACCACTTTATGGACCCTCTTTTTTCTTCACAGAATCTTTAATACGGATTGGGTCAAGAAATACAGTAAATGGATGAGCAATGTGAAAAACCAGCCCAATAAGCTTACTTAAAGACTTCAATTAGCCTTGAATCAAGATGAATACATCAACAATTAACCGCTATGTCTTCCTCTAAATTTTGGGAATAGTGTTTTTGGCTTTTGGGAGAAAACGACACAAGAAACAAATAAATGAGAAGGGGTCCATTTTCAGTGATTTTAAGCTTTTTTTTATAGGGATAACTTGAGAAACTCGATTTCATGAGGGTCCTTTTCGAGTACTTTTTTGTTATGTGACTCGTGATCTTTTGCTCGATAAAACGCTTTCCATAGGTCTTGTTGGTTTTTAGTCTGCGGAAACTGCTAATTTGGCTCTTTATCTACAAGTTGTGTATCTTGTTTGCTCGTAAACATAAATGCAATCCACTGCCATTCTCTTAGTTATTGCATCTCTAATGACTAAGGTACGTTTTTCAATTACAGCCACAAATTCACTTCTCTGTTACATGTCTAAAATGTTCGGACGGGTATACATTCTTGAATCTTGATTTTTGATGCTTATTTCTCTGTTCTCATGCTGTTATGTACCTAGAGAAAATATTCATTACACCATCTCTTTTTTATGCCTGGATACTTCTATCTTAGCAATGTACGTTAATACTATCATCAAGTAGTTCACCAAATATTACATCATTGTTTAATTTGTTGAAACCTAACATGAAATGTGATACAAATGAGATCAAGCATGTATGCAGGTTATGATGACAATTTGAGAATTCAAACATTACACACAAGGATATCAATTCATCAACATTGGCCTTAAATAAGCATTAATTGTTCTATTGAAAGCTAAAAAACAAACTTGTCATTATTAATGTTCTTTGTGAAGTTAAGATTATTAGATTGGTGCGTATTTCCCACTTCTAATCACTTTTTTTTTTTTTTTTTTGATCCAATTTTTCTTTGAAAAACGGCTTCTTGGCGACTAAACATGGAGACTATTCTGAACCAACCAAAGTGGACCTATAAATAGACAAATTGTGGTGGGCTGAAATAATGGTCATTATCAGTTCATACAAAACCAACATTGTTGTTGGTCACTCAAGCCCATCACAGTTATAATGTTCTTTTTGGAATCAAATCACATGGATGGATTCAGTCTAAGCTTGTCTACTCACTTTAACATCTAATCTGTTGAAGATAAGGATTAACGATGTAACTAAACGTGCACCGAAAAACAAATGTATATATGTGTTGGGTAGTGGGCGTTTCCAAATACTATAGTATTTGATTTGATACTAAAAAAATATGTGAAACTCCCAAAGCTAATCAACATTTTTTATTCAAGTTATGTCAGTAAATGATACAACGACAGAAAATTGATTTCTGTTGGTGTTTGGTATCATCTTGTCCAAGGACCACCACTGTTCCTAGAAATTTAGCATCTCTAGGAACTCTGATAACTTGTACTATAAATTTATAAAAAGAAAACCTCAAGCCGATAGTGGAAGTGGAACTGTAAAAAGAATCGGATGTCACGTGACAGATCACGTGCCTCTCACACTGATTTCTGCTCTCTTCTTCTCTGCCCAACGGCCCAAGGATATGGACGCCACGTCATCTTATCCAAATCACAAAAGCGGATCCATTTTCTCTCTCCTTTGTTGGGTCTGATCCGAGAACAAGATCTCAGCCGCTACTTTTTAACTTTTTCCTATCTCTGCCGTCGATTTCTTCTTCTAAGAGTGCTACCATTTTGTCGTTTTCTTTTATCCTTAGTCATGATTGACACGTGTCACCTGCCAGCATCTGATTTTACCAGATCTTCCTTATTTCCTTAATAAATCCTTTAATATTCGATCAAAATCTGTAATTCAATCTTAAATATAAGCAAACAAATTTGTACATCGTGATCAATTTCTGATTACATTTTGCACAATATGAAAACAATATCCCATTGATTATACATCGTTGAATCAAAAACTAAACAATTTCCACTTTATTTGTTTTCGGTTAGGTCAATTAACCGGTAAATTTGGGTGAAAACTGTAAATGGCATTGAGTTACATAGAGAAATTAGCTAATCGAATCGGAAAATACAAGCCGGTTTATAATCTATACCGGTATCTCAATTTGGTTTATTTACAGGAATAAAAAACCGGAACCCTAGACTCGCTCGTAACAGTATAACTGTATAAGGTCTCATTTGCGTGTGCTCTCGTCGCGATTACTCTCTCCAGCTCTCTCCTTTTTTTCACATCGATCTCGTATTGGTGCTTATTGGATATCTCCGGCGAAGGAAACGGGTTTCGCGGTTAGAGTTTCTTTATCGCTTACCGGCGACGATGATCGTATCTTCGGTAAGGTCGATTAATCGGTTCTGTTTTCGAAGATGTTGTTGTTAGAGTTAGATCCGCATGGTTTTGGTGATCGTTTTGGATCGAAGACGTGGTTCCACAGACGCAAAAAATGCCGTCGTCTCTTGGTTTGAGATTTGTCTTCTGAAATCTTTCCTCTTTTGTGCTCGTTGAATCCTTTTTTTAGAAATTTTTGGTCTTCGAATCCTGGGGATAGGTTACAGTCTCCGATTGTAAATAGAAATTTGCGGCGTCGTGACTTTTAGGTTAGGAAAAGTTGTACAGATAGAGATTGAGCTCTGAAACACATCTCAGGAACATTTTTTGTTTCTTGTATAAAAAAGGGTTTTTTTTTTTTTTTTTTTTTTTTTGTTTTGTTTCTCTGTGTTGGTTAGAAAGTGGCGAAGATGAATCTGGGTGCGGCCGAGGAAGAATCGGCTCAGGAGATTCATTTACCAGCTGATATCAATTGGGAGATGCTTGATAAATCCAAGTTTTTCGTTTTAGGCGCTGCTTTGTTTTCAGGGGTATCTGGAGCTCTGTATCCTGCGGTTTTGATGAAAACTCGGCAACAAGTTTGTCATTCGCAAGGTTCTTGTATCAGAACTGCGTTTACCCTTGTAAGACATGAAGGATTAAGGGGATTGTACAGAGGATTTGGTACTTCTTTGATGGGAACTATCCCTGCTCGTGCTTTGTACATGACTGCCTTGGAGGTTACTAAGAGTAACGTTGGCTCTGCTGCTGTCAGCTTGGGGTTGACAGAGGCTAAAGCTGCTGCAGTTGCTAATGCGGTTGGAGGTTTGAGTGCTGCCATGGCTGCACAGCTTGTTTGGACTCCTGTTGATGTGGTTAGCCAAAGGCTTATGGTTCAAGGAAGTGCTGGTCTTGTCAATGCATCAAGGTGTAATTATGTTAACGGGTTTGATGCATTTAGAAAGATTGTTCGCGCTGATGGACCAAAGGGATTATACAGAGGGTTTGGGATATCGATTCTGACTTATGCACCGTCTAATGCGGTTTGGTGGGCTTCTTACTCTGTTGCACAACGAATGGTTTGGGGTGGAATTGGGTGTTATGTCTGTAAGAAAGACGAAGAAAGTGGGAACAATAGTACCACGATGAAACCAGACTCTAAAACGATAATGGCTGTTCAAGGAGTTAGTGCTGCCATTGCTGGAAGTGTTTCTGCTTTGATTACAATGCCACTCGACACAATCAAGACGAGATTGCAGGTTCTTGATGGGGAAGATAGTAGTAACAACGGGAAGCGTGGACCGAGTATTGGACAGACTGTAAGAAACTTGGTTAGAGAAGGTGGATGGACAGCTTGTTATAGAGGATTGGGACCAAGATGTGCGTCAATGTCAATGTCTGCAACAACTATGATCACTACCTACGAGTTCTTGAAACGGCTTTCTGCTAAGAACCATGACGGGTTTTATTCTAAATCATAGTGATAACAACTGAGAATCCACATAGAAGAATCTTTTATGGAAATGTCTCTAGTTTTCTTACTTATCTTGTTCTCTGTCTAGCTGTTCTGCTATTTCATTTGTTTCCAGTCATATGTAAGGAATGTGTTAAATTCAGTTGTTTCTGAATAAATAAATGTTATTTCCTCATTCGCTTGGATTCGGTTTCCTGGTTTGGATTGGTTCACCATAACCGCGCTACTAAACCGACATGGTATTTGCGATGTTAAAAGATGACTTGTAACTTTGTAAGACTGCAATCTTACATCAATAAGCACACACGACAAGATTTGATTTGGCAACATGTTATATTTAGTAATTCATGAATCACTTAGAAAGTGATTTACAGGATTGTGACTTTATATATTTCACAATGCTGTCTTTTTCTTTACAGAAGTTAAATTATGATCATTTGTTAGTATCTCAGGAACACAAGTGTGTGTATCTGTCACATAAGTCAACGTTTCTTGGAGCAGAAATTTACGTTTCTTCTTACCTTATCAAAATAAATTATGATTTCTTAAATAGGATATAATGCATAGAGACGGCCTTGATATTTTGACAAAAATATTCATGAACGTGTGGAAGAAATGGTAGTATTTTCAAGTATCTTAAAGTGTATGACATCTTCTCAGACAGATAAATGAGACTCAAAGTAGAATCTTTCAACCTCTTTTCTTAATTATTAGAAGTGTATCAAGAATAAGACATAATCTAATATATACTGGATTCTTCATTAAATATTTCTCAATCATTGTCAACGAAATTGTAAAATACTACAAGAATCCGAATGTGTCTCTTCACATAGATCAATGGAGTGGAAGCAGAATCTGTATTTTTCTTCATCTTTTCAAACAGAATAAGGAGACTTCTTCATTGCCGACACGACACAAATGAAGCAAAAACAAACATATATAAATCATGAAAAAAGAAAGAGGAATTGAAAGTTTATTAAAGCAATCATATTACTAGTTTACACAAGAGATACATGGTCACAGAAGATAAAAATGCGATAGAGTGTTCGAAATGAAGATCTTGGTCGTTCTTGTGATGTCTAACACAGACATAATGTGGAATAAAAACACTAAGTTACAACAATCGAAAGAACTAGTAGTAGCCAAGGATGACTTCCCCTTTTGGTGGGAACATGAACACAGCACCAAGATACAATGTCTCAGATATGGACAGAGAAATGGTGCATGTCTCCACCTCCATGCATGTCATTAGACTGACCATGAACAAGCATGGCTCGGTTTGTCTGAGTTGAGAAACCTGAAAACTGGAATTCAGTGTGTCCAAAGAGATCTGCACCGTCGGAAATAGAGGTGATGTCAGAGCCAGAAGTGGTTGAACCAAGGTCTTTGCTGTGCAGCATATGAGCTTCGAATCTAGACATGTTTGTCTTTCTGTTTTCCTGTTGGTCCGACTTGTCATTTTCTTGTTCTCTAGCAGCTTGTTCGGCTTCTTGAAGAAGTTTTTTGGTGTTTAGGAATCTTCCACCGGATCCTCTTGGCCTTTTAAGAGCATGAACATGTCGAGATTCATGAAGATACGGCTGTTGCAATAAGGAAAACAGATATGAGCAAAGCAATTTTAAATGAGATGTTTTTGTTTCTGTTGCCTCAAAAGGTAAAGAGATACATACTTTACGGGCTCTGATTAGTTTGTTTTGAGCCTCGAGCTTAGCACGTTGCTGTCTCCTCCTCATAATTGCGTGGTATTGCTTTGCATTGACAAAGACTGGCTCAGTTTCAGTGAGCTCCGCTGGTAAAGGAACACGACCAGGAATCATACTCACCATTTGAGGATTGCATGTCTGCAAAAGAGAATAAGAGAATTGAGATCTGATGGACAGATAAAACTGAAAGATAATGACCCACTTGGGATTTGCATTTCTATGCAAGGGAACTGTTTATATCTGAAACGAAGGGTGTACTTACCGGTGCCTGTGGTAGGTAAGTAGCAGCTAATAAACCACCATAATGTGGATCAGCATAGTGAAATGAGAAATTAGCCTGCACCATGTATAAACATAAGAATATCAGTCCCCCATCAGAAGTTTTGCTATGATTACTGACTCATAGTCATAGATTAACAAAAATACCTGTGCAGGAGCAAAGTGAATATTCGGAAATCCTGTCATCAAGCCTGGTTTAGGATTACTTGCAAACCCCTTCCGTTGAGTTGCTTCAGATCCTAGACAAACAACTGACAAAGTAAGAGAGAGTATAACATCTTTTATGGCAAAAGGACGAGTCTTTTGTCAATGACACAAGAAGTAAAACATATATACCAACAATCTAACCTGATTTAGCAGAAAACGAGATTTGCCTGGAAGGATTATCATCTTCACTAGTAGCAACTTCAGTATAAGATTGGCCAGTGGACTGCGTTGAAGATGAATCCTGGTCCTGAAAACTGATTTGCTTAGTGGTTTGTAAAAGTTCAGGCCTTGCATCCATCTTCAAGCTTAGTGATGATTCAGTAGTAGTAACGCGACGATTAACAATGGAATCAGTTGGAACCACTCCCCATGAGATGCTAGTATTAAGGTATGGCAAAGTGGAATGAGTAGCTGAATCTTTCTTATTCATCATTTGATGCATCAGAACCTCTTCCTTAACAAGCTAATTCTCACAATCAGCAACCTAAATAACAAGCAGAGATGACTCAAAGATTAGATTTTTAAAGCTAATAATCCAAGTGGGTGAAAAAACCCAGAATAGAAATAAAAGAGAAGTTGGAAGTTTCTAAAACTGTGTAAAATTTTTAATCATCTAAACGATTTCTGATTCGATCGTACTATCTTGGGTAACCAAATCAATTGCAGAGATCGCTACGATTGGCTAAAATTAGTAATTTTCCGACCAAGAAAAAATTTATGTTCCCGTCATCACTTTTGGGCAAAAAGTCGTTGACTTGAAGATGAATTTTTTAGCAAGAATTTTCCAAAATCAGTAATCGCACGCCACAAGACAGATACACCAAAAATCGAACAAAGAAAAAAGGGGAAAATTAAACATCTTTCGAACAAAGAGTCTACAGATGCAACAAGGAAAGAGATAAGAGATAGAGAAAGAAACCTTTGAGTAATCGATGAAGCAACGAAGAAGAAGAAGAACTAGGGACAGAGATTTATTTTTGCATGTCTCCTTGTCCGAAACAGAACCAAAGTAAACCCGATTGTTTCTCTCACAGTGAATCACAGAGTGGTCTTCGTATGTAAGATCTTCTTTCTTTTGGTTCGTCTCCGTCTCTTTTACCTGTCCTGGGAAATCAACATCGCCATGAGAACCACCACCACACCAGCTTCTCCTTCTGGGTTAATTATTGTCTTAAGTGCCCTTAATTATTCATTTAATGTCTTAATTTATTGGTTTCACCTTTACCCAAAACACAGAATAAGGCTCTCTGGCTATCCCACCTCACCTTATAGCATCAATTACCCCCAAATAAAAATTAGAGAAGACTCTTTTGTTAAAAATTCTTCTTTATTATATAAAATCGTCTATTATTAGATTCCTAAATTCCCTAACACAGTTTTTAAATTTTTAATTTGGGGAAAAAACCAAAATGATTAACAATTAAAAGCCAAAAATATAATGTAATTATGGAAAGGTAAACGTACAATTCAAGATTTTTTTTTCTCTCTAAATTAATGATTCCTATCTCTACAAATCCGTTAAGCACTTTACTTTTTTTGTTTGTTTTATCACATTTAGGTATTATACTATAAGGTTTGTTTTATATTAACTTTTCCCCCATATTTTGTTTCGAATATAACTAAGGTTGTTTTGGCTGTATGATTTCTTAATTTCCATTATCTCTAATAATGATTCCAAAAAGTATTAGCTATCTTGGCCACGTTAGCTTTTGTTTAATTAAAAATATTGTGTGAAGCTTTTAAAATGTTACTTAGCTTTTTGTCCAAAGTGTGTTGTCGTTTCCAGACTAAAATATTTCTGAACTCTGAACCGTCCTTAATTTCCCCTTATGTCTTTACTCGTTAGTCTTTAGCCGCCCCCTCCCCATATTAATGTCTCAGACGCTCTCCTAATCTCGTGATTCACACGCTCTTTCGAATAAACTTACAATTTTCTTATGGGAATAACATTTAACAATTTTAATCTACAAGTTATAGACTGGCAACCATTTTCCTTGGGTATAGTAGTTTAAGGAAAGTGTAAGCATGTAAAATGAGATGGGAATACAAGGATTGTATAATACTAAAACTTAGGTTGGGTTCTTAATCAAGTACCTAACCTTTTTTGCAATCAAATAAAGCTTTAGTGCAAGTCAAGCATAGTCATCCATCCTCCTTTATCCTTGGAAGTAACAACCAAAACATAATAATTGCTACTTGATGTTTTCTTAATTCGTTTTTAACATTCTTTTATTCCCTATGTTTATGGGCTTTTTAAGCCCTTGATTGATCCATGAGAATTAGGACACGTAGGTACTGGGTACTCAATACTCATCATCCCCTATGGACCAAAATCAAAAGTTATTCACCTTTCTTTTGGGTTTGTCCAAAATTTTCCTGTCTCCATCTATAGCCTAAACTAATGAGGCGCACGTTTCATGGAAACGCCATACACAAACAGAAGCACAATCTGGTAAACTTTTGTTTAGTAAAAGCAGAGCACAGAGTATAATAAGCCGAGGATTTTCTGGTAATTCTTTGAAAAACAAGTGATCTGATGTTACTCTTTGGACGATGAATGAAATCTGGGTTCAGGTTTTAATAATTGAAGATGACAATTGACAAGAATTGCAGATGCAAGTCGCAAGTAAATATGAAAAATCTAGCAATTTTTGTTGCAGACCAAAATATATGAGATCAGCCGGTTGTTTGAGAATTTCCTCGCAGCTGGTTTATTTTGGTTATAATTCGTACACCAAATTAAACCGGAATTCAATACTAAACCGGGCCGAAGTTATCTTCAGTATGATTTGGGTTAATGAGTTGACTCGGGAATAAAAAACTCTCCATCAGGAGACGGCTGCAGGCAAATCTAGAGAAGAAGTCGAATTTAGAGGCGGCAGATTACTGGGAACTTGGGAAGAACCTCGGTGGCTTGATCGTTTGATGTGGAAAGCAAAGCGCGTCGTGATGAAACCCTACAAGAATTTTGGTGGTCTCATGGCATAGAGGGATCAAGGAAAGCGAAACTTTTTTACCCACCGTTATTCAGCATCAAACGAAAGCAGTGGTCAACTTCTAAAGCATGAAATGAAGAACCGGAAAAAGTTTCCAGCTTCGGTAACCCATTTTTGCGGTAGGCTGATCCTCGTACATGTCTCTGGGACTTCATCATCAATATGGCTGCGCATTCCAGTTTCCGGTAAGCAAACACATCTCCGTGAATCCTACGAAAAGGGGAATAATATATTCATAATGTCCAAAATATAACCAGACTGATTGGAAGAAAAAACAGGTCGATGGTAGTAAGCTTACCTCTTGACTATGTCCGTCATATAAAAACAGATCCATTAGATGCTTGTGTTCTTCTTGGTTCAGGCGGGGGCAATGGCCAAGATCGAAGTGTTTGATTGAATGATTTGGGGAAAGGGAAACAGTCTCCAGGGAATCGCAGCCATGTGCATAGAGATGCTTGAGGCTCAGTGGAAGCTCTTCCACTGATATGAGTCTCTTGCAATTATTGAGGCAGAGAGTTTCCAAGGATAAAAGCTCTCTGATGCTTGAAGGCACTGTCATAATATCATGGCTGCTGAGGTTTAAATATGTTAAATTGGTGAATAAATCCGAAATAATATAACTCAAAGTACACATCCTTGCAGTTATCAAGCCAAAGCTCAAGCAAGCAGTATGTGTCCAGTTCGTCCAGCAACCATGAGAGGTTCACACTGTCAGAAAGTATGAGCGTCTCCACCTGAGTAAGTTGTGGCAGTTCCCTAAGTTGGCGACAGTTTCGAAGGCTGAGATACTTCAACTTGGGCAGTTGTCCCAAGGTTTGTGGTAGATACTTGACATCATTTCCTTCGAGGTCAAGTGTCTCTAAGAATTGCAAGTGGCTTATGTCTTTCGAGATGTAGTGGATGTTTAAGTTTATCAGCTTTAGCTCTGTCAAACAGGGAACATTTTGAAAGTTGGAACAACGGAAAGGAGCACGATTCTCATTGTAACTAAACTGCTTGATCTCAAGCGATTTTGAACTGTTAGAATCTGACATGAGCTGAGGCATTCCTGGTTCCTCTTCTATCGTCATAGACTGATCAGGGATCTGTTGCTTGGAACCAAAAGAGAGGTGCTCTGTTTTTCCGTTAAGGCCCAACAACTCTATATATAGTTTGCCTTCGATTGATAGATTTTTAAGAAACGGGAACATCATTGCGTTTTTCGGAAACGACAAGGAAGTTCCGGAGCTGCCTCCACATATGTAGTTGTTACTTAACTCAACACTGAACTCGACACCCCTAAGGAAGCAGTCGATTGCATTGAGTTTTTTGAGAGTATGTAATCTTCTTATGGACTCTGGGATATTCCGTAGCCTCTTGCAGCCTTGTATTATCAACTCCTCAAAGTTCACGGCTGTTGAAAGATCTGGAAGCTCTCTCAGATTCTTCGAGCCTGTCAAATCCAGTCTTCGTAATTTCCTAAGGTTCTGAACCAGTACCGCCAAAGCGGAAGACATTATTATTCATTTGTATATAAAGAGTGATCAAATATATGATTTATAAAATTAGCTTACCACCGTGCTATCCCAGAGGCTCTCGAGGTTGCTCCGTTGGAGATTGAGTTCGACAAGGTGGTGGTGTCGGAACGTGTGGATGGCAAGGTTTTCATTGGATAGTCATCCCAATGTAGTAGCCTAATATTACGGGGAAAATAGAAACCATCTTCGCTGAGCTGCACGTTGGACTCTGCATCACCCAAGTGCTTGAAGAACTTGAGAAATTTGATGCTATGCATAATGTTGAATACTGTAATACTCATAGGTAACTTATCAGGCATCTCACACATGTGCAGTGTCACACCTTCAATTTCGTCTGTACCCTGTTGATAGAAACGTCAAAGTCACTGTCATAAAGGTTAGAGAAATACATATCCAGATCAGCGAAAGGATCGGAAACAAACTTACTATGTTGTTATCTAGGACATCATAGATCTCTTTATGATCCCATAGAAACCTTTGCCTGGAAGGCCTATTCCTGGATTCTTGGCGCACAATTGCCTTTCCTGTTTGTACGACCAAGAAATGCATGTTTATACATCCATCCATCGATATGCTGATAAGAGCCTTTGCAGTTAAATGATTCATCCTAGGACGGCCGTCATCAAGAAGGGAAGTGACATGGTTGAAAGGGTAGCCGTTAAGGAGACATGCAACATAAAGGAAAGCTGTCTTGTCTTGCTCATCTAAGTCGTCGTAGCTATTTCTCAGAATCTCCTTGACATTCTTGTGAGGACTTGTTTCAAGTAAACCTAATTCCTCTTCCCACTTCTTTATGGTTGTGTTTTGTCTGAGATATGTGGCATAAGTCACAAGGGCAGAGGGAAGACCGTGTGCCAGCCGAGAAGCTCTGATGAAGAGTTGCTCAAATCCATCTGAAGGTGGCGGGCTTCCTCTCAAAGCTGAAATTTTAAATACCTGGAGGGCATCCTTATCATCCAAGCACTTAACCTCATATACATTGTTTACTCCACAGGAATTGAGCAGGCCCCTGTCTCGTGTGGTTATGATGATTCGGCTCCCTGGACCAAACCAGCTCGTGTCTTTTGCCAGTGCATCTACCTGCTCTGCTTTATCCACACCATCAAGCACAATAAGTATTTTTTGGTGCCCGAGTCTTGCGATTATCTCCTGCGATCTTGCTTCATGGCTTCGAAAACCAATATCTAAACCACCACAAATTCTGGAGAGGAATCTTTCCTGTAAGTACGCAGGACTCTTGTCCTTACAAATATTCTTAATGTCTTCAATGAAATAACGAGCTGAGAATTGACTTGAAAATCGGTCATATAGACAATTGGCAATGGTGGTTTTGCCTATGCCTCCCATACCCCATATTCCTATAAAGAGAACCTGGTTTTCAGATCCCATATTGAAAATGAGATTCATTTTAACCATGTGTGCTTCCATCCCAACTAAACTGTTCAAAACAGTTGACTCCATCCTTAGCAGCAGGTGCCTTGAGATGCTTACAACTACTTCGTCTATCATCGCTGAGTCATCATCCCTAATATGGAAAACAAGTAAGTTAATCCTCTCCAAAACAAGAAAAGGTATACATCAAGCATGTATTTCTTGCAGCATCGCTTTTTTTTTTTCATTCATTGGAGTTTTTGTTGTGGAGAAAAAATTCACATCACAACTTACAATAGTATATGTGCGAGTAAACCAACTTACAATAGTATAAGTGTGAGTAGAACAACCCACACAAGTACACCGGAAAGTGGAAGTCAATAGAGGTTCAAAAAAGTCGATTTCTTTTATTAATGTCAAGACTGAACTCAAATATATTACAAGAGATTTCTAACAAGCTTGAGGAACAAGTTAGGGGTTTCTTTGCAAGTAACAAATGTAGGGTTCTTGAGGTGTCAATTTGCGATCCTTTGTTCGATGGCCGAACTCCCTATTTATACCGAGGGTATCCTAGTTTTCGGATATGTTTTTTTCCTTATTCTTTGGGAGAGAATCTTTCCTTTCTCCGATTATTTCATTATTCAAGTAGATCTTTGAGTTAATCCTTCCATTTTTGTTTAGGTCGGTTGGAGTTAGTTATTGCCGAGTTAATCGTGCTTTTGACGTAAAGCCGATCCAACCACTGGACCAAATCGGTGGGATACTTGGTTTATTTTTGGTTTAAATCGGGTTAATCGGATGGTGCTAAACTACAATATCCTACAATATATAAGGGATATGAGCCAGTATACTATTGTCAACTGGTTTTGAGTTGGAAATGTAAGAAACTTAACAGCTTCAACCGGTAACCATTAAAAGAACAAATAGAAAATGAATAAAAAAAACAATACAAATAGAGAAGCACGGACTCGCACTCGGGCACAGAGATCACAATGGAATCGACCAAGCAGGAATTTTCTCAAGTGTAATTATGATTGCAAATATGCTCAGGGAGGGAACGCTATTCAAGCAGGCTGGATATTCCGTGATTCCGATGGTTTTTTTGTGAGAGCAGAGATAAGTAAGGGTGATCATTGTTCCTTGGTAGTAGAAGCAGAACTCCAAAGTTTACTCATGGCGATGCAACACGCGTAGATACAAGGTTATAGGAGAGTCATCTTCGAAGGGGATAATATTACTGTCTTTAGACTAATCACAGGAGAAACAAGAAACTTTCGATTACATAATTGGATTAGAGAGATTATTTCATGGAAATCAAGGTTTGTCACTGCAGATTTCCAGTGGACAAGAAGACACAACAATCAAGCTACAGATAGATTGGCAAAAGAAACTTTAAGAGATACTTCAAGCTTTATATCCTATTTCTATGTTCCAAGCTTTATTGTAAACATCCTCCATGAGGATCACATTTCGAGTTAATGAAAAGCAGATGTTAAAAAAAAAAAAAAAAAAAAAAAAAAAAAAACAAAACAATACGTAATGGAACAAACAATTTTTGAGGAACGAAAAGAAAAATATGCAGAAAAGGAATAAAAAGTACCATTATGATGAATGATAACTAAACAATAAAAATATTTTTAAAAATACTGGGAGACTCACAAAAATGTCTCTTTTTCAATACCCCTTTTCAAAAATGCCCCATTTGGCTGTCCATTTTTAAAAATACCCTTTTTTATGTACAAAATGACTAAATTACCCTTCTTTTAATAAAAGATATCACAAATATATAAGAAAAACATGAGAATGTGCACACATCAAAATTACAAATTTGAATTTGTAAAAACTTGTAAAATTTTCCCGTAAAAATTTTTTCCACCAAAAAATTTTCTCGCCAAAAAACTTTTTTTTGCGGGAAAAGTGATTCCGCAATTTTTTTGGCGGGAAAAATTTACAAGGTATTTAAAGGTTTTTTACAGGGTATTTATAAGGTTTTACAATGTATTTTAAAAGGTTTTACAACGTATTTATAAGATATTATAAGATTTTACAAGCTATTTTATAAGGTTTTACAAGTTATAAGGTTTTACAAGTTTTTTAGAAGGTTTTACAAGTTATAAATACTTTATAAAACCTTATAAGTACCTTGTAAAACCTTTTAAAATATATTGTAAAACCTTACAAAACAGTTGTAAATACTCTGTAAAACCTTTAAAATACCTTGTAAATTTTCCCCACCAAAAAATTGCAGAATCACTTTTCCCGAAAAAAAAAATTTTGGCGGGAAAATTGCGGGATCATTTCCCGCCAAAAATTTCCGGGATCACTTTTCCCGCCAAAAAAATATTTTGTATTTTGTGGACCTAATTTTGTTTCAAATAAGGGTAAAATGGTCATTAAAATTAAAAAAGGGCAAACTTAAAAATGGACTCTCAAAGGGGGCATTTTTGAAAAGGGGTATTGAAAAAGGGGCATTTTAAACAATTTCTCAAAAATATATTTAATAGTAAATAAATCAAATTCAATGAAAAATACTAATATTTTTATATTTAATTTTAAATTAAAATTTGTGAACTAAATTTAGAAATATCATGTTAAATAATAATAGTTAATATTAACATAAAATAGAATTGTAATAGTGATTTAAAAGATATTATTCTTTTATAATAAAAACATTTTTAAATTTATTTTATTTATATAATTTTCAAATAAAGTGTTAAGAGTAGTTTAGCATAAAATTCTTTTCAAAAATATTTTCCCTGTTAATATTGCGAAGATATGCAAATTAGTATATACTAAAATACAAATATTATTGATAAACATTATTTTTTTATTTATTTTAAAATAAAAACCCAATTTTAATATTTGTTTTTTTTTGTTCTTTTTTGTTCCTCATCAATTTTGGGAAAAAAAAATTTTGTTCTATTGTTCCTCATTCGGTGAGGAATGTAGAGGAATGATGATGTGAAAAAAACATTATTTGTAAATTGTAAAAATATTGGGGAACAAAGAAGAATATTCTAGATTTACTATTGTGATAAAGATTAAGAGATTTAGAATATTTACTTATTATGTTTATATTTATTTTCTAATCTAATTAGATTAAACGTAAGTTAGTCTACATACATTGTACCAACTCTCTTGACATCAATAACTTCTTCTCATTCTTTTCTTAAATCATGGTTACCAATTGAAACCATCATATATTTATTTATTTCTTGATTCCCTTCACTTGATAACTTGATTTTCAATTCTAGGATCAATACTATTCGGCGAAGTTAATTAAAGACTAACAATGGAGAATTGCAAAGGTTGTAAATGGCTTAAAATTGACTTTTAAGGTGTTGTCTTCTCTTTAAGAATAACTATTATTGGAGATACCTTGGGGAGCAAGATGCTATCTTGGGGTTATGGACAGTCAAAATCCGTTCATGAAATGAACCCGTGAAGCCCAAACCGAAGAATATTCTAGTACTATTGTGATAAAGATTAAGAGATTTAGAATATTTACTTGTTATGTTTATATTTATTTTCTAATCTAATTAGATTAGTTAGTCTATATACCTCTTGACATCAATAACACATAATAAATAGTCCCCTCCCTCCCGGAAAATTCTTCTCTAGTTTCTTCAACTATTTTGATCCTCAACCAAAAGAAAAACATGTCTAGGGGTTACCTCTAAAAACAAAGTAATGTTTCCAATCCAAGCGCTCAAAAGATATAGATATTGAATTTCTTTCGTGGGCCATTTAGCATACTGAATTCAAATAGAGAGCTATTGTCTTTAACTTGTTTTAAGAAAATTCATGAAGCAGTTGAAGATAAATAAAGAAAGTATAAGATTATGTACCGGTTTACTAAACCGAGTTAATTACAGTTTGTACCGGTAAACCGGATGTATAAATACTCTATCCCTTGTAACAGATCATTTAGTGAGAATAACAACCTTTTATCGATTCTTTCGTTTTCTCACGAACACTAACATGGTATCAGAGCACAATTGCTCCGTTTTTCGTCGCAAATCTCGCTGATTCTTCGAGTTTTCTCGTAGATCGCTTCATTTTCATCATCTCCATCTTCGATTTCATCCATTTCCATCAATTTTTCTTCGTTTTCTTTAAATTTTCACTTCTCCGATCAAAATCCGGTGAATACGATGGTTTCCGTTTATAATTTACGGCGTCGTACGGTGCGATCACGTCGTTCAGCTGAAAGAACTTCTCCGATTCGATCAACAACTCCGATTTCATCACCAATTGCTCCGATTTTCACTCAAATGGCTTCCGATCCTCCGATTGATTACACGGATTTGTACTCGCCTTATTCTTTGACGAATGGAGACAATCCGGGGAATGTTATCATCACTGAGGTACTAGATGGAACCAATTACTCTTCTTGGACTATTGCTATGTCTGTTGCACTCGATGCGAAGAACAAAATGGCTTTTATCGATGGGATCTCTTCCTCGACCTCTTGCTACAGCCACTAGTTTTCGTTATTGGTCTAGATGTAACAGCATGGTAAAGTCTTGGATCTTGAACACGGTTAATAAGCAGATCTATAAAAGTATTCTTCGATTTGATGATGCGTCTGCAATTTGGAAAGATTTGATGACCAGATTTCACATTACTAATCTTCCTCGGTCATACCAACTTACTCAACAAATTTGGTCGCTACAACAAGGTTCGATGAATCTCTCTGATTACTATACTACTTTGAAAACTTTATGGGATGATCTTGTTGGTGCCAGTTGCATTGGAACTTGTCATAACTGTAAATGTTGCAAGATTGTTGATACGAGTAATGAACATGCCAAGATTATCAAGTTTCTTGCTGGTTTGAATGAGAGTTATGCAACAGTTAGAAGTCAGATTATCATGAAGAAGACTGTACCTGAGCTTGCAGAGATTTACAATTTATTGGATCAAGATCATAGTCAACGCAGTATTGGCTCAACTTCTCATGTTTCGAATGCTTCTGCTTTCAATGTTTCTGTGTCACAACCGGCTTCTGTTAATGCTGCTCAATCATCCTATCACACTAATCCACGACAGCCTAAGGTTCAATGCTCTCACTGTGGTTATTTGGGTCATACTGTGGATAAGTGTTACAAAGTTCATGGATATCCATTGGGTTTTAAACATAAACAAAAGTTTGGATCTGCTCAGAACACCACTACTCAGCCTGCTAAACCAGTAGTTGCCAGTCTTACTTTGAATGGTCAAGATACTACTATTGGTTCTACTGATATTGCTGATCTTGTTGGAGGAATGTCTAAGAGTCAGATACAAGATGTTATTGCCTACTTTAGCACACAGCTTCAACCTAATGCACAGCCAATTACAGTTGATTCAAGTTCAACTAGTAATATTAATGGTTCTGCAAATGCTGTTGCTTCCACTTCTACTGGTGTCACTGGTCCTGCCCCCACTGGTATTTCATTCTATTTTTCCACACTTTGTTTTATTGGTATTTTGACAGCCTCTAGGAGTGTACTAAGTTCTCAAACTTGGATAATGGATAGTGGAGCAACCCATCATGTTTCTCATGATAAGGATTTGTTTACCACTCTATCTTTAGCTTTGAGTTCTTCAGTTACACTTCCTACTGGTAATAATGTCAAGATTGCAGGTGTTGGGATTATTCAGCTCAATGAGCACATTATTCTCAAGAATGTATTATATATCCCTGAGTTTAGACTCAATATCTTGAGTATCAGCCAATTGACCAGAGATATGGGTTCACGGGTATATTTTGATGAAGATGATTGTGTGATACAGGATCGTATCAAGGGATGGAAGATTGGCAAAGGTAAGCAAGTTGCGGGTCTCTATGTGCTGGACATTGATGCATCTTTGCTGGATACTCCTATTAATGTCAATCAATCCTTTTGTTCTTCTGTTGTTGTTGATGCTGCCATGTGGCATAGTAGACTAGGACATCCATCCTATTCTAAGATTGATCTACTTCACAGTGTACTTGGTTTACATAAAAGTAATAAAGAAAGTTCTCCACATTGTGAGATTTGTCACCTTGCTAAACAAAAGCGTTTACCATTTGTCTCACACAACAATATGTCTTCTGCTCCTTTTGACTTGATTCATATCGACACTTGGGGACCGTTTTCTGTTCCTTCTATTGATGGTTACAGATACTTCTTGACGATTGTTGATGATCATAGTCGAGCAACATGGGTGTATATGATGAAGACTAAAGATGAAGTACTAAGAGTTTTCCCGGAGTTTCTGCAAATGATAGAAACACAGTTTCAGAAACAAGTTAAGTCTGTGAGATCAGACAATGCTCCGGAGCTCAAGTTTGTGGAATTATACAAAAAGAGAGGTATTATTTCATATCACTCTTTTCCAGAAACACCAGAGCAAAACTCTGTAGTAGAAAGGAAACATGGTCATATACTGAATGTGGCAAGGTCTCTGCTATTTCAATCACATATTCCACTTGAATACTGGTCAGATTGTATTCTCTCTGCTGTCTTTCTCATCAACAGATTGCCTTCTCCACTACTATCTGATAAATCACCATTTGAGCTTCTATATGGTAAATCTCCTGACTACAGTTCTCTGAAAGTTGTTGGTTTTTTGTGTTACAAATCTACATCAACTCATCAAAGACATAAATTTGAACCAAGATCAAGAGCCTGTGTCTTCTTGGGATATCCTGCGGGCTACAAAGGGTATAAGCTTCTGGATTTAGAATCACATCAGATTTCTATATCACGACATGTGGTTTTCTGTGAAACTTTGTTTCCCTTTGCTAATAATCCCATTCCAGAAGATTTGTTTGATATTCCTACTAAAGCTCAGATTGATGAAGTGATTAATGCTGAAGAAGAAGCAGTTGTTCTTAATGAAAGGAAAAGCTTAGCAGATACAGTGGATCTAGAATATGTTGAAAGAGAAGAAGAAGAAGAGACAGAGATTTTACCACTGGTAAAACGAGCATCTTCTAAGAGAACAAGTAAGCTTCCTATGCATCTTAGAGATTATTACTGCAACAATGTTTCTGATGTGAGATATCCTATTAATGCTTACATAAATCTCTGTCAAATATCCTTGGATCATCAAGCTTTTGTGTGTGCTATAGATGCTTATTCTGAACCAAGTAGTTATACACAAGCTAAGAAGATTAAAGAATGGATTGATGCCATGGGTTTTGAAGTAGATGCTCTTAAGGAGACAAACACGTGGTCTGTTTGTTCTCTTCCTGAAGGTAAAATTCCCATTGGTTGTAAATGGGTCTACAAGGTCAAGCTTAATGCTGATGGTTCTCTGGAACGTTTTAAGGCTAGACTTGTAGCAAAAGGCTATACTCAGATTGAGGGAATTGATTTTGTGGATACTTTCTCTCCAGTTGCTAAGATGACAACTGTCAGAACACTTTTAGCAGTCTCTTCTGCTAAGAATTGGTTTCTGCATCAGTTGGATATCTCTAATGCCTTCCTTAATGGCGATCTTGATGAAGAGATCTATATGAAGTTGCCTCCAGGTTATTCACCAAAAGAGGGGGAATCATTGCCTGAGAATGCTGTGTTACGACTACACAAGTCCTTATATGGTTTAAAACAAGCCTCTGGGCAATGGTTCTTAAAGTTCAGTTCTACATTGATTTCTATGGGTTTTACTAAGTCACATGCAGATAATACATTGTTCATTCGCCATACAAAGGAGAATTACATTGCCTTACTAGTGTATGTCGATGACATTGTCATTGCAAGTAGCAGTGAAGATGCTCTGCAACAGCTGAAATCAGATTTGGCAAGCTGCTTCAAACTTAGAGACTTAGGCCCTCTGAAATATTTCCTTGGATTGGAGATTGCACGGAACAGTACAGGGATTTCAATATGCCAAAGACGATATGTTCTAGAACTTCTTGAAGAGACTGGAATGCTTGGTTGTCGACCTTCTTCTATTCCAATGGAGCCAAGTCAGAAGCTTACTGCTTATAGTGATGAACCACCAATTGATACTCCAGAGGTCTATAGAAAGATGGTAGGTAAATTGATGTACCTCACTATTACCAGACCAGATATAAGCTTCGCAGTCAATAAACTTTGTCAGTTTTCTTCTACTCCTAAGAAGTCTCACCTTAATGCCGCATACAAGGTGCTTGCTTATCTCAAAGGAACAGTTGGCTTGGGTCTTTTTTATCCTTCTGACTCAGATCTTCAGCTCAAGTCCTACACTGATGCAGATTGGTCTAAATGTCCAGATACAAGTCGCTCAACTTCTGGCTACTGCAACTTTCTGGGAAATTCTTTAATCTCTTGGAAATCTAAAAAGCAGGAAGTCGTTTCTCGTTCATCAGCGGAGTCTGAATATCGTGCAATGGCCTTAGCAGGATGTGAGATTTCTTGGCTGGTCAATCTCTTAACAGAGCTACAGGTACCTCAACATAATCCTGTTCCTTTGTTCTGTGATTCTACCGCAGCTATATACATTGCAAACAATTCGGTCTATCATGAAAGAACCAAACACATAGAACGAGATTGTCACACCATCAGAGAATGTATTGAAAGTGGCTTGATCAAGACTCTGCATGTGCGCACACATCATCAGCTAGCAGATGCTTTTACAAAGCCTTTATTTCCGACTCTGTTCAGGGATCTCATTGGCAAGATGAGCTTACTTTCTATCTTTGGCTCATCTTGAGGGGGAATATAAGATTATGTACCGGTTTACTAAACCGAGTTAATTAGAGTTTGTACCGGTAAACCGGATGTATAAATACTTTGTCCCTTGTAACAGATCATTTAGTGAGAATAACAACCTTTTATCGATTCTTTCGTTTTCTCACGAACACTAACAGAAAGATTACCATTCCGTGGAATGAATGCCTGATATATGACTAATTTGGTTGAGAGCTCTTCTCCATTGGGAAGCCCTATTCGGCTCCCTATCTTCGTGCTTTTGAAAGGCAGCCGCGAATCTTCCTTTCTGGTGTCTCACGTCAGAAGGATCGACTCTGTAGAAGATGGGAACCACATGAATCCGATTCACGCTATGAAGCTCCATTATCAATCGGAGCTCCTCCAAGCACCATTGCGAGGTAGCATAGTTCTCCGAGATGAAGACAACAGCGACCTGTGAAGTTTTTATGGCTTCGATGAGCCTTTCCTTAATTTCGGATCCTGCCCCGATCCCCTGATCGTCTTTATAAGTAAGAATTCCCTGGCGTATAAGATCTTTATACAAAAAGCTGACTACGGTGCGCCGAGTGTCTTTCCCTCTGAAACTGAGGAAGACATCATAGTTGCTCCTAACAAGAGTTGACAAGGACGAGGAAGCCATCACCGAATATTATGGCGTTTGAGACTTATAAGAGAGCTATCTATCTGAAAAATTGGAAAATTATTTGTACTCTTCTATATATGTTAGAATTACTGGGGGTTGGATTCTAGCTAGCCCAGGAAAGAGTGCCAAGGTCAGCGTTTACTTTCACATTAATCCAACTTGACCACTTCCCTTTTATGTTTTAATGTACCCAATTGAACTGCCTTGCACGTTCAACATAAGAAATTGTATTTTGACGCAGCAATTTCATATTTAAAAAAATCCATCGTTTACTATGTCCAAGTAGGGGATCTTCTTCTGTTCCGAAGTGTGTATCTCCCCGTCGTAGTCTCTGAAATTCTCATCTCTTCAGCGAAAGACAATCTACACAACCTTTCTTAATGTCTTCCTCTTCTTCATCTCTTATCCCCAAGTTTGATGTCTTCCTAAGTTTCAAAGCAGAAGACACCACCAACATATTTGTATCAGATCTTCACCGTTCGTTGTCAGAAAAAGGCATTACAACTTATCAAAAAGATGAAAAACAGGAGGAGAAAGACTCCTCCGTTGTTTCTGACCTAAAGAAATGTATCATAGAGTCAAAACTCGCCGTTGTAGTGGTCTCAAAGAGCTATCCAACTTCTGTTCTATGCCTCAACCAGCTTCAAACAATCATAAACTTTCACGATGAAGGTCAACTCTCTGTCCTACCCATCTTCTACGGAGTTGATTTGTCGAATATAAGAAATCAGACTGGAGAATACACAGAAGCTTTTAGAAACCTTGCTGAAGAATTTTCACCTGAGAAGGTTCAAGCATGGAGGAGTGCTCTTGCCAAACTCACCAGTGTATCTAGCCTGGATTCACGTTTTTGGTAACTATGTTTCATAACATGATTAAAACCACATGAATAGAGTGATTACTTTAGGACTTAGTTGTACGCTAACACTTTGTTACATATATGGTACTTTTTTATTTCAATCACAGGAGCAAAGAAGAGACGATGGTAGATTTGGTTACGAATGAAATCTTGCTTATGGTTTCAAATAAGCCGAATAGTCCATCAACAACCAAAGCAGATGGACATGTCGCATTGGATCGTCATATGCAAGCGATATATTAGTTACTGGATTTAAAATCTAACAAGGAAGTTCGTTTGGTCGGCCTTTGGGGTCCCGGAGGCGTTGGCAAGACGACACTAGCGAGATACGCGTACGAAGAACTGTCTACCAATTTCCATGTCCGTATGTTTTTAGACAACACCGAAAAGATCTATCACCAAGACAATCGGGAAACATTCACATCAAGAGAGACTCGAGAGGGGTTTCAAAAGCTGACAAGGGGAATAAATGAGAAAAGTACTGCAGGTGTGATCAAATCAGCAGTTAGACACCGAAAAGGTCTACTTGTGGTTGACTGTGTGGATAATATCGAACAGTTAAAGGACATAGCAGAGATCGTTCGTTGGTGTGGTTCAGGAAGTAGAATCATCCTTATCGCACAGGACGAGAATTTGTTAGATAAATTTGGTATGGAGCATGTCTATGAAGTGTCCCTGAGATACGACGAAGCCCTTCAAATCTTCTCTCAATCTGCCTTCAAACAGCAACACCCTCCTACCAGTTTTGAATCACTCTCCCTTCGTGCTATCCAGATTGCCAGTTTCCTTCCTCTGACTCTTAAAATTCTCGGTTCGTTTTTACATGGCAAGGATGAAAAGAGTTGGGAGGAGGAGCTGCAAAATCTTGAAGGAGACCAAGAGAAAACTATAATGAAAGTTATGAAGAAAAGCTACAAAATCGAAAATGAGAAGGAGCAAATCTCTTCATTTAGTGATGATTATAAGGAAAAATTCACCTGAAAAGAAAAGGTGTTTGCTTTTTCAAATGTGAACATGTGATAGATGTATTTTCATAATGTTTGATGTAGCATTTTCACTATAAAAGCGAACTCTTCTGGGCTTGTCTAATCTAATCAATAAAGACGCCCATGGTACAAAGAGGTAGCAACTTGGTCAAACTTGCTCAATAGAAGGCAAAATACTGCATAGAGTGACTTTCGTAAAGTTAAGAATCTAAAAGTACTCACGTCAATCAAAAAGTTAGATTCTGAAACGAAAATCAAAGGTAGTAGTAAGTAGTAACATACCAAAACAAGAATTTTGCGATGTTATTAGGAAAAGGAAAAAAAAATCAAGGCCGTCATGCTCTGTTTGTTGTAAAACCCGGTTGTTTAGGAATGATGTCCCATCGCTGGTTAATTTTTGGTTTTAGTTAGAAAACACAATAGAACCAAAAACAACCAAACCGATTATAAACATAAACCTCAAATTGACCCAAACCAAGCCGAAGTCACACCGGATTTGCTTCGTCAATAATGCGAATTCCACAAGCTCTTATCTCGCCTAGTGGAAACTGAAACTCCTCCTCTGGAAATTGAAGATGGGATTCGAGTCGCAACTCTTCGATTTTCTCGGTGTTTAAGCTACTCGGGACGTGGATGATAACCAGGTGATGTGATGCAACAGTTTCTTCTTCCTCAATCTCCGATGAATGATTGAGATTTGGTTTGAGGTTAATCCAAATTACTTCATCAGCTTCGCTGTTCCAGTCATAACTAAACGCTGGGAATTGGAGATTGAAGGACCTCTCACAAGAAATCAAGATACAAGCAGCAAAACCCAGAAGGGTCGGTGTAAACAGGCTGATCTTCGTAGATGTTCCATGGGATTGATTATCGAAATTTCTGGGCACTTCATTTCCGGGTAAGCAAAGAAATCGTTGTGAAACCTAGAAAGAATTAAAAGCGAATTGTTTCATAACAGAGGATTAGAAGAATCGAAAATAGCAATTAACGATAGCAGGAAGCTTACCTCTTGGCTACATTTGTCGTTTAGAAACAATGTAATCAGTTGCTCATCTTGTTGCAAACCGAAGCAATGGCTAAGATCGAGGTGTTTGATTGAATGATTTCGGGAAAGGGATACATTTTCCAGGGAATCGCAGCCGTGTGCGTAGAGATGCTTGAGGCTTTGTGGAAGCTCTTCCACTGATTTGAGTTTCTTGCAGTTATTGAGGCACATAGTTTCCAAAGATGACAGCTCCTTGATGCTTTCAGGGATTGCGTCAAAGTCGTGGCTGCTTAGGTCCAAGTGTATTAAATTGGTGAAACGGCTAAGCTGTTCTGACAATGCTTGGAGATTCTTGCAGTTATCAAGCTCAAGCTCTAGCAAACGGAATCTGCCTTCATCTTGAACTGCACAAGGAAGTTCCAGCAGTGATTCGAGGTTGGAACAGCCGGAAAGCTTGAGCGTCTGCAACTCAGTCAGCTCTGGAAATGTCTTGAGTTTGATGCAATTAGAGAGCCTCGCGTATTTCAACTTCGAAAGGTTCTTCGTTGATGCGGGTAAACTCCTGAAATCATTTCCGCTGAGGTCCAGTTTCTCTAGTGACTGCATTAGACCAATGTCGACTGGGATTTTCTGGATATTTAAGTTGATTAGATTCAACTCTACCAAGCACGGGAAAGCTGAGAAGCTAATGCATCGGAAGGGGACACCATCTGCGCTGTAGCTAACTCGCTTGATACTTAGCGATTTAAAATCATAGAAGCTTGAGATGAACGGAAGTCTTTCCTTTGGAATTACCATATATTCCTCAGGAATTTGTTGCTCGGAAATAAAGGAGAGATGCTCTGCATTGCCCATGATATCCCACAACCCGATGTTTATTTTCCCCTCTATGGATAGGTTTGCCAAAGAATTTAGTTTCTTTACTGCTCTGGGAAGTCTCAATATTATTTGCCGCCGTCGCCTGAGTCCAGGTTCTCGGAGGACAATCTTTTCTGATATATGAATCTGAAGATTCGTTAAGCCATCACAATTGGATAAATCGAGTTTCCGCAGGCAAGATAAGCTTCCAATGGACTCTGGAGTTTGCTTCAGTCTTGTACAGCCTTTCATTATTAAATCCTTCAGCAGTGCGGCCCTTGAAAGATCTGGAATTTCGGTCAGATTCTTTGAGCCAGTAACATCTAGTCTCTTCAACTGACCGAGGTCCTGAATATAAGACAAAAAAAGAAGAAGGTGAAATCTTAGATACTTTTTAGTAAATCGTGACACCTTTTAGTTGCTATAACAGACTCAACACCAACGTGTTTCGATAGCTTACCAGGGTTCCATCCCATAGATGCACAAGACTGCTGTAACGCAAATTGAGTTCAACCAGACAATGCGGATAGTATCCAGGAGGCAAAGTTGTCATAGGATAGGAATCCCAATGTAGTAACTTGAGTGTGTTGGGAAGCATATCTGTGCCTGGAAGGAACTTCAGTTTGGACTCTTTGTCATTCAAATGCATGAAGGCTTTGAAGAATTTGAGATTGTTGATCGCGTTAAGAACGTTTCCCTCGATAGACAACGCTTGAAGCATCTCACACATGTGTAGTGCTACACCTTCAGTCGTTGTTGTACCCTGATGAGAGAATTGGAGTCAGCTGAAATGAAGACAATACAAATATGACCAAAACCAGGGAATTTTTTTAATCTAAATGTGTTTTAACACTTACTGTGTTGTTTTGTAGCACAAAGATGATTGGATCAGTTTTCCACAAAATTCTTTGTCTCCAAGGCATGGAGCCAGATTCTTGGCGCACAATTTCTCTTGCTGCTTGTTCTATCAAGACATGCATGGTGATGCATCCATCAGGTGATATTTCTATGAGAGACTTCGCTTCTAAAGCTTTTGTCCTTATGTCACCATCATCGATAAGGGCATTTACACGCTGGACAGAGGTTCCATTGAAGAGGCATGCAACGTGAAGGAACGCAGCCTGTTCTTGCTCATCTAAACCGTCATAGCTAGTTTTCAAAATATCCATGATACTTTGATGGGGAACTGTTTCAAGAATACCCAATGCCTTTTCCCACCCTTCTATCCAGGTAATCCGGCGGAGATATGTGCCAAAAGCTTCGAGGGCTGAAGGAAGGCCTTGAGCGAGCCTAGAAGCACGGATTGAGAATTGCTGGTAGACATCAGAAGGAGCTTGCCCTCCTTCAAAAGCAACCTGTTTAAAGACCTGGATAGCATCACCGATGTCCAAAAAGCTGACATGGTATAATAATCTCACTCCAAAGGAGTAGAGCAAGCCAAAGTCTCGTGTAGTTATGATGATTCGGCTCCCTGGTCCAAACCAGCCAGTATTTTTTGCCAGGGCATGCAGCTGGTCCACGTTGTCCACATCGTCAAGGACAAGGAAAATTTTATCCTTAAGCTTTGACTTGATACAACTGCATCCTTTCTCCACGCACCATAGGGTCTCTTGTTTCTTTCCTCTGATATTGGAAAGGAGCTTTTTCTGCAAATACGGGAGGCCATTCTTTGCAGCAATCCTAACGTTTTCTATGAAACAGTAATGAGCAAATCGACGTGAATATTTTTCATAGAGACACTTGGCTATGGTGGTTTTCCCGATGCCTCCCATTCCCCAGATTCCTATCATACGAACCTCATCCTCCGATTCAATACTCAATAGAGGATTCAGTCGTTCCATGTGAACTTTCATCCCTACAATATCACTGAAGTCTAGTGGCTCCATTGAGAACACTTGTTTTGAAATTTGCCCAACAATATCGGCAACCATCGTGGCCTCGTCCTTACTAATGTGGAGGACATACAAAAAAAGAAAGAAAAAGATGTCGCTTTAGATAGGTAACTTCAAATATAGTAGTTCACAAAGCAGCATGCAGAGGAAGAGGCCAATGAAGGAAGGGACCAATGAAAAAGAAGGTAGCAAGCACAATAATGGCTGCATTTGTCTACATCACCCTAATAAGCATCGGAATATTTTTATTAGACTATGTTAACAGCTTAGCAAGGATGAATATGGATATATTATGTAGAAGACAATGCCATGACTCAAGGAAGAACCAAGATGGAGGTGGCATGCATATATAAGCTAATGGGCACGGGTACGATGAAGTATAGACGACAGTAAGGCTCATTCAGAGGACTGTGGGAAAGGTTTGATATTCTTCATCCGCTTTCATGGTCATTTCTCATGACTCATCCTTTATTATATAAAAGAGAAGTCAGTCGGCGATTTTCGTTGCGACACGTGTATCTTCATTTTTCATAACTAACAACTTATTCTATATCATCTTTGTTTGGTTCCACTATAGAGGATGCTTAGTAATAGTGATTTACATGGAAAATGCAGCTGAAAAGTGAAAACTCACCAAGTACTCAAATCTTTGCCTGATGTTCCTGCGACCTCCCTGAGAGCTTCTCTCCATTTCTGAATCTTTGCCGCCATTGCTCTTTTCTTGCTTGAAAATAGTAGCATAACTCTTGAACATTCGTACCTTTCTAAGGCAAAGGTTCCTCTCTGGTGTCGTACATCGGAGGGATCAACGTTGTAGAAGATTGGAACGGCAGTGAGTTGCTTTTCCTTGTGAAGCTCCATTATCATTTGGAGCTCGTCTAGACACCAAGTCGAGGAAGCATAGTTCATTGAGATAACTAGGATTGCAAATTTCGAATTATGTATAGCTTCCTTGATTTCTTCTGAAATGGAGTCGCCAATCTCAAGTGTTTGATCATCTTTGAAGATTTTGTCAATACCCCTGGCAAGAAATGCTCTGTGCAAATGGCTGACTATGCCTTTGCGAGTATCTTCCCCTCGGAAGCTGAGGAACACATCGTACTGCTTCACAACACGAGGTAACTCCATCGGTACAATGTGTATCTGTGCAGATTATATTTTTGTCTTGGGCCTTAATAAGCAGTTAGGCCGTTGTTTTTTTTAATGTTGATCGAAGAATGTTCATGAAGATAAATGGAGGTCAACGTGTTTAGTTACACACTGCCATGTTGTACATAGGCGCGACACGCCTGAAACTGTGATTTGAATCTTTCAAGCTTGTGACAGATTGGCTTATATTATAAAATCATCAGTGGCAACATAATATAGCTCTTGAATTTCAATCATACGCCTGGCCATTCTCTGTATTATTTTTTACTAGATACTCGGGAAAAAATTTCCAAAAAATATTGTGTGATAGAACTCTTTTTTTTTTTTTTTTTTTTGGTATCGGTGTGATAGAACTTTAGAATTCTTTTGCGTTGTTTGACCATACGCAGATAAAATACGAGATATACAGATTAAGCAACTTGATTTCTAAATACCTGAGTCAAATGGAATTCTGACATATACTCGTATATTCCACTACTTTAAAAAGTGTCATGTCAATATCATTCTGATGTAAGAATCTATCTTCTTATCTCAAAGAAGGGAATGTTTCGCGTGTGTTTGTAATAGAGATGTGCAAGCGACGACTTCATCAGTTGCTTTATAATCTTTCCAAGGAACTGTAGAACTTTCTTTGCAAAAAATTCAAAAAGAAGGAAAGAAGAACTTAGCTTCCTTAATTTTGCCTTTCTCCTAATCATGACGCACGACGTGTTCCTGAATTTCCGAGGAAAGGAGATGCGCAAAACTTTTGTGAGCCATCTTCTTAGCTCGTTCACGACCAAAAACATCACAAGTTTCATAGTCTCTGATCCTTTCGAGGACCCGGATCTGAAGGCTATGGAACAGTCGCTAGTTGCGATCCCCGTGATATCAAAGAACTACGTGATTTCTAACTTGTGGATGGATGATTTGAGAAAGATAATAGAGTGTGAGAAGATAGGAACTTTGACGGCAATTCCTATATTCTTCCAAGTTAGTCCTTTGGACATCTTACACGCAACAGAAAAATACGCGGACACGCAGGATGAGACCTTGGAGATGGTGAGGAAGTGGTTGTACGCTCAGGTGTCCCGTAAACCTAGCTTCCATTCCAATGACTGGTACACTCTTTGCTATTATATATTGCTCTCCTTTTTTTGGGTTACTCAGCAAATATTGTTTTGATGTGATATACTGGCTATAAACTAGAATTGTTCCTGGTCTCAAGACTTAGTAAACAAAACAAAAAAAAAAACAACTTATTTGACATGAATGATAGGGACGACGACTCCGAGCTGGTGGATAAAATTACGAGTTTCGTTTCTGATATCCTGGAATCTTCCACATCAAGCTATCAAAGTACTGGTTTAAGTCCGGCTCCGAGTTTGAAGCTAGAAAGTGCGTTCAGGGTAAGCAAGTTTATGCACTGGAGATCTCTGTCGCTACCAAGCTCAGCTTTTACACCGATCTCACTGTCTGCATTCAGTCAATTCCCCCTCCTAGACATGAAGGGTCGCTTAGAAAATCTGCGCGCTATGATATTGCGCGTAGAGTCTAGAGCAATTGGTATTTGTGGAATGGAAGGAGTTGGGAAGACAACTCTTGCTAGGCACCTTTACGAGGAGATGGCACCACGATTTCAGCACCATATATATATAAAGAATGTCATTAACAGGTCCCAGTGCCCATTCAGTTTACTAGATATGCTTGCTAGTGAAACTTTCAAGGAAAGTAGCTTCCGCGGGAGCTCTGATAGTGCCATCAGAGAAATGATTGGGCACCGGAAGGTTCTGCTTGTTGCTGATGGTGTTGATGACATTAAGCAGCTTAAAGGTATAACCAAAGACGCAAGTTGGTTTGGTCCAGGAAGTCGGGTCATTGTAATCACTCAAGAAAGGTCTTTGCTTACTGAATGTGGAGTGAAACACATCTACGAGGTTGAGTGTCCGAGATACGAGGAAGCTCTTGCTTTCTTCTCAGAATTTGCATTCAAGCAGAGCAGCCCTCTCCCTGTTTTCGAAAGTCTCTCTTTTCGGGCTGTCCATGTCGCTAATCGTCTTCCTCTGGCCCTGAAAGTGTTGGGATCGTATTTACGCGATAGGGAAATAGATGAATGGGAAAGTACATTGCGTAAACTCGAAGCATCACGTGATAACTATGCTTCAGAGGTTAAGAGTTACATCGGAGCAGATGACTATGCACCGAGACGTCCGATCAAAGTGGATCGACACATTGGAGTGGATGAAGCAAATTGTTTCCCGTTATATTGCTTGGCTCTTGAATGATCATTGGTCTTGTTCATGAGTCTACTTCACTTGGATTTGTTTGAAAAGTAATGTTGTGCATTTAGTGGTTGAATAAGACGAACAAGGACATCTGCTCGTCACTAAACTCTTTTGTGTATTGGTTATTTATTATGTGTGTGTGTGTTTTTTATTTTCTCTTTTGTGTTTTTATGATGGATGGATTCAGCTAAGTCTCGTCAACACTCGTTGGATTCAGAAGACGGAAGGCATTAGAACTTTCGTGCTTGAAAAACCGAATCAAACCGAAAGCCTAGCTTTCTTTTCTTGTTTCATACGCTTTAGCGATCTGTTTTCTTATCCTTCCACCGAACTTGGTTGAAACAGTTTCAACACCTTCTCGTTTGCTTGTTATTCAATTCTTTCAAACTAAGTATTCCTTGATCAGTTTTACCAGCAACACCAACCGATTCAATCTCCACAATACTCTTCTTCTGAGTGGTAAATCGATGAGCTTTCCCTGAGATTGCCAGATATCTAAACATCATAGTCGAATTTACTAATCTTGGACCTTCTGAACCAGCAACTAATATAAAAACAGCAAAGTCGAGGTATAAAACTCCTAAATAGGGAATAAACTCAGAGCAGCTCTGCCAAGCAGGCGAAGCTGAGCTCCTAGACTTGATTGATTGGACATGAAATACCCAGCACCCGGTCACGATGAGCTGAAACAGCTTGCCAACTAAGACTCTGCCTCCACATGTTTTGTTTTGTCACCTTGAAACACTATTCATATGTAGACAAAATGTCAACTTCCCTAAATCATTGAACACTGAGGCTCAGATTTCACCATCACAGAATATCATCACCACAGCACTGCATATATCATGTTCTTCGCATACAAAAGTCAATACCACAAAACCAGATTCTGAGACTGAGTTTTATTAGAAATACCGACCTTGTTATATGAGGGTGATGTTGGAATTTCCATGTTAAGAGAGCAGTCTTTAGGGAAACCTTCTTTCTCTAAGTCTCTGATAGTTGCGTTTATCAGAGGTAAGCAGACACCAGTAGCATCCTTAAACACACTTTCTTGGCTTTCATCATTCTTCCTATAATCGATGTGCCGGGTACAATAAAAGTGATGTTTCTGTCATCTATGTTGATAGTTCGTTACACTAATGTTGTTCAGTGTTCAATAAGACTAGCAGGAGAAAAAGGTGGTGTTGTCCCTGTTGTATAACCTGGATAGGGAAAATGTGCAACCATCAATGCAAAAGTTGTAATTTACGTTTATAATTCTTGTATCCATATGTGATTTGTAGGTCATGTCATTAAGGACTGAGATTGAAGAAGATAAAATCTGAGACAAGACGCTTACCAGAGATTTGACTATTTGAGATTAAAATCAGTGACATGATTCAATATTATTCTACTCAGATTTAACCGATAGCCACATAATTCATTCACATTCCAAAGAGATGCGTTTGATGAAAAAACTGGCAAAATTCAAAGGTAGTTCATGTATCGGCAGAGCCGCAGAGGCAATAGTATCAGCCATAGTATTTTGGGTAAAAGATCGTTCTTCTCAATCAAAAGGTATACAAAAAAAATACAAATTGTATGAATTCGAAATAGAGAAAAAGCAGACCGACCTTTTTTCCAATTACAAAGGTAAAAAAGCTACTGACAAACAAACAAGCCAACAAGAGCAACCCATACTTGTAGGGAGATCAAATAAATAAAATAAACAACTGGGTTAAATGACAACAAGACCACAAGAACAAACAAATTCAGAATCCAGTAATCAGATTTGTTGGGAGAGTTTTAGCCAAATCATGTAACATAATTTACGATTATGACCTTTTTCATTGATCAGAGTTAAAGGGCTTTGGAGATCCATTCCGATACTGCGGCTTGAGTGTCCGAATCAATATTTGGAAGTAGAGACAATGGAGTCACAGAAACCTGCCATTGCCAAAAGGAAGTAATTTAGAATCCAGGTATATTTTCCTTAGAAATATCTAGAGACTTAAGACTTTAACCAAACAAAATGTTTCATGATGAGCGCAAGTTTTGATTCAGAAAAGAGCAGGATGCAGAAAAGGAGAATGAATGAATGATACAAAAAAGAGTATGATCATGCCAACTTACGAAACCATCTTCTAGAGCCTTGACATCCAAATCTTCATCTGTGTGTTCTTGTTCTTTAGCAAGTAACTGCAAATATATATAAGTCGGAATCAAAAACACAGTGGTAGACACTGATTATCCAAAGGATTTGTGAAGAGAACGGTTCAAGTTTTCTTTACCTCTAGACGAAAGAATTTCTTAACACGGGTATCAGTTTTACCAGCAACACCAACCGATTCAATCTCCACAATACTCTTCTTCTGAGTGGTAAAACGACGAGCTGCCCCCTGAGATTGCCAGATATCTTAATATCAGAGTCGAATATACTAATCTTGGACCTTCTGAACCAACAATTAATATAAAAACAACAAAGTCAGAGGTTTGAAACTCCTGAACAGGAAATAAACTCACAGCAGCTGAAGCATCCCTGCCAAGCTGGGCAAGCTGAGCACCTAGACTTTGTTGGTTGGACATGAAATTCCCAGCACCAGGGTGACGGTTAGCTGAAACAGCTTGCCAACTAGGACTCTGCCTCCACATGCTTTGTTTTGTTACCTTGAAACCCTGTTCATATGTACACGAAGCATCAACTTCCCTATACCATTGCCTAGTGGAGTGTTGTTAGAGATACAAACCTTGTTTGATGAGGGTGATGTTGGAATTTCTATATTGAGAGAGCAATCTTTAGGGAAAACGCCTTTTGCAATGTCTCTGATAGTTGCGTTTATCAAAGGTAAGCAGACACCAACAGCATCCTTAAAGTGACTTTCTTGGCTTTCATCTTTCTTCCTATAATCGATATGAAACATTATGGCCAACAATTCCAAATATGTATCAGCACACATTCGCATGATATACTCACCAGTTCAACGATATTGACAAAGAGGGTACTCCAGAAATCAAAGCCTCCCTGGCTCCAGCAACTGCACCTGAATAGAACCTGGAGAATTCTCAAATCAGGAAACACAGCGGAGACGGCCAGACAAGGAATAACCATTTATATACAAGACAAATGCACTTACATTTGATGGCCACAGCTTGAACCCTGATTGATTCCACTAATTACCTGAAGAAAATAAGCAAAGGCACAGATACAAAAATTACAAAATACCAAAATGTCATACAGTCAAATGATGAGACTGTCAAAATGCTAACCAGTAATGGTTTTGACCAAGCAAAAAGCGCTCCAGATAATCCTAATGAGATGCAGTCCACAGAAGTCCCTGAGACAAAAGAATAATTTCAAATCCTATGAACAAAAACAGTACTCACACCACATGTATTAAAAAAACAAGATCAATCAATCTTCTTGTTTCAACAAAGACTCCAACTTTCACATTCGATATACTTATTCGTCAAGCTTATAGATGTTGTGAACTTCAGAAAACTGTACTAATAATCATTTCAATCAAATCCGCATACCTGAAACTTCAAAGGCTGTGGCACCTTTGATACTAACAGAGCTTACAGCGATTGTTTCTCCAGGAGTCGTAGAATGAGCAGAAGCTGATTTATCCCTGCAAATTCCAATTCACAGGCCTTGAGACTCACCAAAAGTTCAGAAATTTAACAAAAAAGATTAACCAAAACTAAATATAAACAAATCAAAATCAAATTAACAATCAAAAGGAGAAACCTTACGTTTGAGGAGCACAAACATGAACATTGTAAATCCCTTCAAGAACCAAAGCCTCAACGAGAGAAACAAGCCCTGGCGAATCAATCCCATCACCATTCGTAACTAAAACAATAGGTCTAGAGTCATCGATCTCTTCCTCCACCGCCGCAACATCAACGGAATCAGATGTAGACGGAGCCTCCTCCGCCGATCCATCGCTCCCAACTTTTTCCTCGTTCCCTACTTTTCTCTTCGAAAGCACATCTTGGAGATTCGAAACAAGCGCGGCAGACAAACCATTGTTCTTCGAGGTCATCGTAGACAACGAGAGAAGAAACGAAGATTGATTTGGGTTTGTGTTGAAAGAATCAAAAACCCTAACGAGAACACGAAGAAGAAGAATAACAAAATTAGAACAGAGAACGGGTCTAAAGGAGTTTTCGTAGAGAGAGAGAAAGAAGAAAAGAGAGATACTTTAATTGGTAGAGAGAGAAAGCTTGAAGAAGAGATTACTTGTGAACTGTAACAATTTGAGTTTCCTCCGCTTAGATAGAAGAAGAAGAACAGTGACGCGCAATTTATTTTCAGACAAAAAAAACAATATATTATTAAAATTCAATCCGAAAACATCCAATAGGAAATTAGGAAATGCTTTTTTTTGCTATGTAAATAGTTAATTATGCATTAAGACATATACTCTAGATCTTGAAAAATTAAAATATTTTTATGTATATTAATTGTTTTAAAATTAAAATATTTTTATGTATATTAATTGTTTTACTCTTACTATGGTCAAAAAGATGAAACATGTTATAAATGGTCCACATCTAATAATTATACAGTTATCAGATGTAATAAGAAGAATTATGACATACATTTAAAGATATTGGAAAAAAATAGTTTGAACCGACAACATTATAGTACCATGTTGGTTGAAAATTTTAAAATGTTAATTGTTGCTAGATCATATGCTAGTTAAATATTTTTTATTTTTGTCAAAAATAGCCTTTTGACTTAATTAAGTTTAGATGCACTATGTCATCAATTTGCTTTATTACTGAATTAGGATATACTAGTAAATTCAAATTTATAGTTGAAGGATAAAATTAGCATTTATAAGTTTGTCTATTTGGTAGCTTACTCCAACTAATAATTAATTTTCTTAGTTTATTGTTGCATATTAATGATTGATGATTTAAACCTTTATTAAGAATGGTAAACTATATTGTAGGATCTGAAAGTCAACAAACGAATTGGAAAATGTCAAAACGAGAGATGTGGAGTCATTGTGATAATTGTCTTCGTAATCATAAATGTCAAAGGTTTAGCTCCTTTAGTTTTGAACTTTTGATAATTGAAGTGATCGTCACGTCGTGATAATTATTCGAGTATTCGATAATTTTTTACATTCATTGTTTAAAGGAAAACATAAACATTGACCCAAAAAAAGAGGAAGACACATCTTATCAAAAAAAAAGGAATGCATAAACCGTTGTAAAGTGAAACGAATTGGAGTATTTATTTGTTTTCACCTTATCCATAGTCCGCTTAACGAATTCAAAATACTTTTTTGGTTGTCTGATTATTTGGGCTCTCTTTTGCTTTTAGTGTTTAGATCTTTTAACAGTTGGCTACAAACACTTCTAGAACTTTACAGATATAAAATAATAATTGAACAAAATGTAATTCAAAGTTAAGAATGGTTCATTTGTTTTCTTTCATATTTGGATAGACTCTTATGCATTGCTAGGAAAAGTGTTGGGCCAAACTTAAGTAGCCCATAAGGATGATGCAAAGTTGCAAACCAAGAATAAAAAGTCTGCCTATACGGAGTTACGGACGCCAAACAATATTGAATATTCCATAATACACTGCTTTGACCAAAGAATTTAAATTTGTTATTATCTAATAAGTAATAACCAATTCACCTTCACTCGTTCGAAAAATACTAAGTATTTTTCGAACAACTTTATATTATTTGGATGGCTCAAATAAACCAATCCAAGAAAACATTATTTACATTCGGTTATTAAATAGCATTGGAATCGCCAAAATCATTTTATATTTTTATCCGCTAGTATTTTTCATGTTCAGTTATTCGTCAAAATCTTATCAAACTTGTATTTCACATTTTGCCATTTTAATTTTTTAAAATACTTACGAAAACTTTTGTAACATTTTTTATATATCAATATTAAATATTTATACCATTTTCCAAATTTACTTTTATAACTTGTCTACTTAATTACTCTAGTTTGAATTTTTCCCTGTTTCCGTCTACACGTCTACAAAAGTAAATTAGTAAATTTACAGAGATATTTTACAACTTTATCGACATTTCAAACTAAAAATCAGATCAAATGTTTAGCTTATGACTCTTTCTTCTTTTGAGTTGGTAATAGCTCCGACTCTTGCCCTTGAATAAGAAAACAATATATCCAACGAAAAAAATTGTATTTGACTTATTGAAAAAGCAAGAAGAAATTGGTCATGGCACTTTAAATTGAACTGATAATAGTATAGATAATGAAAAATATATATGGTCGAGATTAATTACTGTCAGGCCCGGCTCACTCATCAGTAAGACCCGGTGCCATACAAAAAAAAATCCTATCTTTAATAAAAAATTTATATATATATATTTACAAAAAGTTATATTTCATAAATTATTTTGTATTTTATAGCTATTTGGACATGTTATTTTTGTTTATTAATTTTGGGCCTCAATATTACCTTTTAAAATAAAATTTTGGGACCTTTACATATGAATATTTTATAAAATTTCAGCATAATTAAATAATTAAATAATAGAAAAACTATGAATTTGGACCTTAAATTTGTTGGACCCGGTGCAAATGCACCACTTGCACATGCCAATAACCGGCCCTGATTACTGTTCGTACGGTCGACGAACATTTGACTCGGGAAAGTATAGTAGCATACGTTACGTACGTTGCGAACTCGATGACTACATGTCTACATTGTCTACAACGACAAAACGTATAAAATATGTTAGAATCTTTCAACGGCGAATATTTTCAGCAAACAAAACGTTTTTATTAAGAGAAATTGTTAAAAATGCTTCTTTTTCAATACCGTTTTCAAAAATACCTCTTTTGAGAGTCCATTTTTAAGTTTGCCCTTTTTTAATTTTTAATGACCATTTTACCCTTATTTGAAACAAAATTAGGTCCACAAAATACAAAATATTTTTTGGAAGGAAAAGTGATCCCGCAATTTTCCCGCTAAAACACTTGTAAAAGCCTTTAAAATATCTTGTAAAATTTTCCCGCCAAAAATTTAACGCCAAAAAAATTGCGGAATCACTTTTCCCGCAAAAAAATTTTTTGGCGGGAAAAAATTTTACGGAAAAATTTTACAAGGTATTTTAAAGGTTTTACAAGTTTTTACAAGTGTTTTGGCTGGAAAAATTGCGGGATCAATTTTCCCGCCAAAAATATTTTGTATCTTGTGGACCTAATTTTGTTATATTTTCTTATATATTTGTGATATCTTTTATTAAAAGAAAGGTAATTTAGTCATTTTATACATAAAAAGGGGTATTTTTAAAAATGGACAGCCAAATGGGGCATTTTTGAAAAAAGTATTGATAAAGGAGCATTTTTGTGAGTCTCCCTTTTATTAATTCTAAGATACAAATCAAGGTACACAAATCTTCAGAATCTGTGACGTTGCATGCATGTGTTATACAAAAAAATTAAATAATCACTTTAGAATATATGATTGCAACAAAAACAATTCCAAGATTTTATCCAAAATTATTTTTTCAACTTTAGGATGGTTATTATATTGGCGTTTACACGTAAACATGTCTCCAGAGGTAGAACAATTCGCTGGTGAATTAAAAGATAAACTCGGTTTATAAGCGTAAATTTCCCGTGATCTAGCAGGATGTACGATGCGTCATGGACTGCGTCATGGACCATGCCTTCAAAAATATCTTTTTTTTTTTTTTTTTTTTTAATTTTTTTTTTTTAAATTTATTATTATAAAGAAAACTGTTACAAGACAGTATGATAGTAATCGTACAATTCAACAAAGCGGCAATGAGTAACAAAGCACAACAAAAGATGCCAAAGCATGACAACTATCGAGACAATAAACGATTAGAAACATGAATCGATTAAATGGGTTCAGCCAAACCCACCTCGTCGACCCCGATTCCCTCGACCGCGTCTTCCCCCTCCTCTTCCTCCACGACCCATATTTATTGCCTTGATCGGCAATTGCAACGGTCTGTCATGTAGATATTTTTCTGAAAATGATGACTTAAGATTCAAAATGAGATCCTCATCTGAATCATCCGACCCGGAAGAAAAATCTCCTTCTGAATCATCTGGCAGTACCACATCCGATGCTAAATCGAGCACTGCAAATTTATTTGAACTAGAAGCTTTGCGAAAAGAATTAGCACTAGATTGGACAACTGAAGCCGAGGTAGTGATAATTGAAAAAACCTTTGCGGGAGTAGCCATCACATTCGTGTCTGAAGAAGGCAGCTCCTTCGCTTCTGAATAATGAACGACATCCACATTCTTACTTGCATCAATAACTGCTACTGAACCCAAGTCAATGGCAGCTCCTTCATTCGGGATTGAAGAGGAGAGAAACTCGGTGTTAGGTTCTACTACATCAGTAATCCACTGAGATTTGCCTTTGCTCTTTGCGTGTCCAGAGGATTTTTTTTTCCTGGGACAATTTTCTGAAGAGTGGGAAGAAGACTTACAATCCAGACAAGTGATGGGTGCAGTGGGACACCGGCGGATGTTGTGACCAACTTGGTTGCAATGGGAGCAAATCGGAGGGAGCCAAGGGCAAGAGACATCCACCCTATGGATTTTTCCAGACTCAAACTGGACATTCACAGCTTTAGGGAGAGGCTTAGTAGGGTCAATAATAGTAAAGACCTTACCCACTTCCAAGTTAGTCATGTTGACAGTAGATGGATGGCAGAAGAGGGGATGGCCAAGCATACCAGCGACGTGTTCGAAACCTTCTTCAGAAAAGAAATGAGGGGGAACTCCACGGAATTCCAACCAAACAGGAGCTTCTGTAAGTTCTGGCATTTCAGGATTAAGGCCAGGTTCCCATTCAGCAACAAACATACTTTGTCCCTCAATGTGCCAAATCCCTTGACTAAGAACGCGTTTTCGAGTCGTTGGGCAAGGAATTCTGATAAGGACCGACTTTGCACCTAAACGGGAAACAGTGATATCACGGTACCGATTACTCCAAATTCCGTTGAAGATAGCATGAAGAGCACCCCCAGAGGGAAGGTTACCATTGAATTGACCAATAATGAAAGATTCCCATCTTTTGAGGTTACGAGTGATTAATTCATTAGGGATCTGAACACAAAGTTCACCAGATTCAAGCAGAAACGGAGACCCTTTCTTTACCATCTTACTCGAAGAAGGTCCTTTCACAACGTCAACCCAGGGACTTTTGAGAATAGGTGAAGCTGAGTCAACCGGTGAGGAAGAGTCAATATCCAGAAGCTGGGCTTTGGATCCAGGTTCAGGGATCTTAGAGTTAGTAGCCGAACTCGCAGCAACATTTGTTTCAACAACAAAAACAGGAGCAGTCACAGATCCCGTGATTGGAGGACCCAACGTTACCGTAGTAGAAACCACAGGAGAAGCCGGAGGAATCGCAGACGAACCAGAGGCCACCGGAGAAGCCACAAGCGAAGCCGGAGGATTCGAACCAGAATCCACCGGAGACGCAGAGGAAACAGAAGGCGGCGGAGGAACACGAGAAGGAATCGAAGTTGGAACAGCGGTGGGAGGGAGCTTAGGAGGAGGTTTCTTCGGCGGGGACCGCTGAGACTTCCCCATCGGAAAGAGAGAAAGCCGCCGCCGGGAACGGCAACGGTGGATTCGAAGCTATTAGGTTTTGCTTTAATCGCCCTTTAATCGCCCATTAATCGCCCTTCTTTTCTGCCTTCAAAAATATCTTATGCCATGCAAATATAATGGACATTTAATTTATTTAATTGTATTTTATTTTAATATGTGGTTTGCATTTTTTATTTTTGAAAACAAAAACAACAATATACATATATATATATATATATATATAATATAATTGTTAAATTTCCATGAAATGATTAAGCAATACATACACCACAGAAAACTAAACTCAACTTCTTCTTAGCTAAGCAGCATAGAACTCAGAGTGGGCGGCTGGACTTATCTATAATAAAAATTTGAGTACCTCTAACGAATAAATTGGAGATATTCTTATAGTTTTACCCTAATTATGATCATCAAACAATTAGAAAAGTTTCTTGGAAATGTAATGGTAATTTCATTACCGTAAATTGTTTTTCTTTCTTCCTCACTTTTTTTTTTTTGTCAAACTTCTTTAGAAGTTATTAGAATCCTCCTCTATAAAAAGCAAACTTAAGTACTTAACTCGTTGCTCCCTTTTAATACACTTGCTAAATGCTCTCAAACTCAAAAGCCCAATAAAGAGAGTAAAACAAAACAAAACAAAAAAGCATGAACACGATCTTAAAAAACTTATCGTGTTTTAAGAAAAAGGTTAAATCTTTACGAATATTCGAATCCAGGTCACTATCTTCTTCGTCTTCTTCCTCATTCACTCCTCAAATATTCGACGTTTTTCTAAGCTTCAGAGGCAAAGATACTCGCAAGAACTTCATCAGTTTTCTCCACAAGGAGCTAGAATCAAAAGGGATTCGAACTTTCAAAGACGACACGGAACTAGAGAGAGGCCGTCCGATTTCGCCGGAGCTTCTCCAAGCAATCAAAGGGTCGAGAATCGCCGTCGTTGTGGTCTCTGTGAATTACCCTGATTCATTCTGGTGTCTCGAAGAACTCAAGGAGATTTTGAAACTTGAGAATCAGGGTTTGCTCACTGTGATACCCATTTTTTATGAGATTGATCCTTCAGCCGTGAGGAGACAGATCGGAGTAGTCGCGAAACAGTTCAAGAAGCATGAGAAGAGAGAAAGCAAAGAAAGAGTCAAATCGTGGAAGGAAGCCTTGAACAAATTGGCTAACCTCTCCGGCGAATGTTCAAAGGATTGGTAAAATCTCCTAAACCTTACAGATTTATGAACCAGGTCGAGAATTTCAGATCTATATCTGTTGAATCGTTTCTCAAAGTTACGATTTTTGTCTCTGTTTCTCAAAGTTTCGAGTTTTATCTCTGTTTCTCAAAGTTAGGATCTTTGTCTCTGTTTCTCAAAGTTAGGGTCTTTGTCTCTGTTTCTCGAAGTTTCGATTTTTGTCTCTGTTCCTCAATGTTAGGATCTTTGTCTCTGTTTCTCAAAGTTAGGATCTTTGTCTCTGTTTCTCAAAGTTAGGGTCTTTGTCTCTGTTTCTCAAAGTTTCGATTTTTGTCTCTGTTTCTCAATGTTAGGATCTTTGTCTCTGTTTCTCAAAGTTAGGATCTTTGTCTCTGTTTCTCAAAGTTAGGGTATTTGTCTCTGTTTCTCAAAGTTAGAGTCTTTGTCTCTGTTTCTCAAAGTTTCGATTTTTATCTGTTTTTCAAAGTTAGGGTCTTTGTCTCTGTTTCTCATGGTTAGGATCTTTGTCTCTGTTTCTGTTTTAGGGAAGATGACTCGAAGCTGGTCGACGGAATTACTGAGAAGATATCAAAAAAGTTGTTCTCGGAAAAACCAAGGAATGATAATATCCTAATTGGGATCGACCAACACATGGAGGAATTGTATCCACTACTTAATCTGAATTCCAATGAAGATGTTCGTGTAATTGGGATTTGGGGAAGAGGAAGTATTGGTAGATCAGCACTAGCAAACCACGTTTACCAAAACATCAAACATCACTTCGAAGCTCATTGTTTTCTCGAAGACGTGAGACGGATTTCACTACATTGCCGCAAATCTCATTTACAAGATGAGCTTCTTTCGAAGATGCAAGGAGAAGGTTTGACAACAAAGAGCTGCCGTAGGTGTCTTAAGACGATTAAAGCAAGGCTCAGGAACAAGAAGGTTCTTCTTGTGGCGAACGATGTAGACAAGCTCGAACAATTCGATGCACTAGCTGAAGAATTTAGCTGGTTTGGTCCTGGGAGCAGAATCATCATTACCACACAAGACAGGCAATTGCTTGTTTCATCAGTGGTGAGGAGTGTCTACGAAGTTGAGCTGTTGAGATGCTACGAAGTTCGTCAGCTCTTTAGGTCAGATGCCTTCAAAGAAAGAGACGATCCTGTTGGTTTCGAGCAGTCTACATATCGAGCCATGTATATTTCAGGTCATGTTCTTTTGACCTTGAGATATATTTTCACTTTGTTGTGTGACAGAGATCAACTCAGAGAAAGAATAAATGCAATAGTACATAGTCTTTAGATTCATTTGATTTTAAATACAAAGTGTAGATTTAGAGGTCAAATAAGATAGTGTTTAGATTCAGGAATATTAAATTGAAGTGTTTATTTGTTCCTTAGTTCTTAACATGTTAAGCCATTTTGTACATCTTGTATGTAATACAGTTCTCCCTTAAAAGAAATAAAGAAAACACCATTTTTTATAGATTTGTCTGTACAATTGGGGTCTTTAAAATTTAGAACAGGAGACACAAAGTTACAGGTCTAAAGCAGACAGGAAAAAGCTTTGCTTTTGCCCTTTACATGATTTGTCCTCTAATACTACTTACAGTAATACTGGTCAAAGCCACTGACAAATTTCTCGCCTCTTTCCTCATAATGAGAAACTCTCATCTGCTTTTCTGATTTATGCTTTTTGGGGGTACTTGGAAAGTTGGAAGATTCACTCACAGGCAGACACTAATGAAAATGTGAGCCTTTTATTTTTGGTCAACTGATGGATTTTTATATAAGTTAGAACTTAGAACATTAAAAACAAACTTGAGAAAAGTCTCCAAAAAGTCATGACCAAGGAGTATAGAACTCACTAAGCTACTAGTCGACCCACTAAACTATGAGTCAACTGGCCTTCACAAAAGAAAGAACCTCCTAACTGAGCCATACACTAGAAACAAACCAGCATAAAGAGGAAAACAATCTCTCATCAAGAAAGAGACCTGCAAGCCAAAAAGGATAGCTACAAGCAACATAAGAATTAAGACGAGAATCCTTAGTGACACTTTGTGCGATGAGAGAAGCTTCTTTATTCGATGTCTCGGAGTTTCCACAGCCATTCTCCATTCCAAAATAAAACTCAATATCGACAATATTTGAGATGACTGAAACCTGAAAGCAGGCCCTTCTCAAAATTGTAATGGACCTTCTGCCCAAACCTAAAAAAAATTCAAATCTTAGCTAGAAATTAAAAAATATGGACTCTTTTTACAGAATTTTAAAAATTTAGGACTTTTTTATCTAAAGAAAATTTAGAAAGAAAAAAAAAAAAAGACCCCAGCACATGCCCTATGACGGGCCTGCGTGAAAGATGGGCAAGCTTGAGGCCAACTAGAACTACATTCTCTACAACGAAGACAACTCATTTTACTCTGTGGCTAACCATATTCTCCCCCGCCTAGACAATGCAAAGAAAATGGGCTTCCGATTTAGTTTTAAAGTTTGTGAACGCCCGACGACTATATATGCTACAAAACATGTCATGATTCCTCTCTTAGATGTAATAACCTTGATGTAATCTATTCGTTTAAACTTGTAATTGTTTTTTAAATTATCCACATCAATCATCTTTGACTCAGTTGTAACCATTCGTTTGATCGATAATACAAAAAACAGTTGAATCTTCAACCAATCACCACTAAATTGCAAAACACCAGAAAAGTAAGAGGATGATTTTTGTTCGTTAATATTTTATCCATGTTCATTTTCTTATTTTGGCGGCCCATCTTATCTTTCTGAGTAGTCGAGTGAAACAGAAGCTGACAGAAGAAAAAAAATAGAGAAAATGCGAGGAAATATACATTTAGCAGGAAGACTCATTAGGTCAACTCCTCTAGTGTTAGTGTGCCTATAAATATCATTTTGAGTTATTATTCATAGAGAATCAGAAATCAAAATGACTTCTGCTACTGCGACTAAGTACGATGTTTTTCTGAGTTTCAGAGGACTCGACACTCGCCGCACCTTCATCAGCTTTCTCTACCAAGAACTGGCTCGAAGGAACATTCGAACTTTCAAAGACGACAAAGACCTGGAGAATGGCCAGAGGATTTCGCCGGAGCTCAAACGAGCCATCGAGGAGTCGAGATTCGCCGTCGTTGTTTTCTCCGAGAACTACGCTGCGTCTCCTTGGTGTCTCGAAGAGCTCGTGAAGATCATGGATTTCGAGAACAAGGGTTCCATCACCGTGATGCCCATCTTCTACGGCGATACCTGTAGAATGTGAATATGTAAAGGGTAGATTAGTCTTTGTTTAATCCCTAATTAGCTTATGATTCTCCTTATATATATTGTAACATGTAAATCTAAATCAATAAGACATTCTCAAACCTATATGGTATCAGAGCTACGATTCTCTTAACAATAGCCGTCACACTTTCAAATCTCATTTCTCTTTCAAATCGCCATGGCTTCCTCTCCGGCCTCCTCCTCCGACACTGTGATCACGACGGCCGACTCGCACACTGTCCTCAATGTCAATATGACAAACGTCACCAAACTCACCGATCTCAATTTTCTAATGTGGAGCCGTCAAGTTCACGCGATGCTCGATGGCCATGGTCTCGCCGGATATGTTGATGGCTCCATCGTCGCACCACAGCCTACCATCACCACAGATGGTACCACCACCGTTAATCGTGAGTTTACTAAATGGAAGAGACAAGATAAGCTCATCTACGGTGCCTTACTTGGTGCGATCTCCGTCAATGTCCAGCCAATTCTCTCTACGGTTGACACATCTGCTGCGGCTTGGGAGAAGCTAGTGGATACATACGCTAAGCCTAGCCGGACTCACATTCTCCAACTGCGACAACAAATCAAACACTGGAAGAAAGGTTCCATGTCGATCAGCGAGTACGTACGGGGCTTTACCACACGATTTGATCAGTTGGCATTACTCGGTGCTCCCTACACCCACGAAGACCAGATTGATTTTGTTCTTGAGGGTCTCCCGGATGAATTTAGGCAGGTGCAGGATCAGATTGCAAGCCGTGAGAGAGCTCCATCGATCACGGAGCTTCATGAGAAGTTGATTAACCATGAGCTTAAACTTCAAGCACAAGCATCCGTTGACTCATCCTCTCTACCAATCACAGCAAATGCTGTTAACTATCGAGGCAACGGTGGCAACAAGAACAACAATGGCAACAACTATCGCCAACAGCAACAACGTTTTAACAACAAGCCGAATCAGCCTTGGCAACAAAACCAACAATACCGACCACGCAATGATCAGCAGTCGCGTGGCTATCAAGGTAAATGTCAAATTTGCGGTGTGTTTGGTCATAGTGCTCGCCGTTGTTCGCAACTTCAAATTTCTGGTGGTACTATGTCATCTTCGAGTCACTACTCATCGCCTCCCAACCAATATTCGCCGTCTCCTGTTCCGTGGCAGCCTCGTGCTAACATGGCCATGGCGTCATCATCCTCATACAATCCCAATCCTTGGATTCTTGACAGTGGAGCAACTCATCATCTCACCACGGATTTGAATAATCTCGCTCTACATCAGCCTTACAATGGTGGAGAAGAAGTCACCATTGCTGATGGCTCTAGTCTTCCGATCTCGCACACTGGTTCATCTAATCTCTCTACCCCTACTCGTTCCCTATCCTTGACTGATATACTTTATGTGTCAAATATTCATAAAAATCTTATCTCCGTTTATCGCTTGTGTAATACTAATAGAGTATCTGTTGAATTCTTTCCTGCGCATTTTCAGGTGAAGGATCTCAGCACGGGGGCCCGATTACTCCAAGGCCGAACTAAGGATGAGCTTTACGAGTGGCCCGTCAATCCAAACACTCCCATCTCATTTTTCGTCTCTACAACTCTAAAAACATCTCTACCATCGTGGCATTCTCGACTTGGTCACCCGTCTTTTTCTATTTTGCAATCTCTTGTTTCTCAATTTTCTTTACCGCTTTCTCATTCTTCACAAAAACAGTTTCCTTGTTCTCATTGTTTCATCAATAAAAGCCATAAACTACCATTTTATTCAAACACAATTACTTCTCAAAAACCTCTTCAATACATTTATACCGATGTGTGGACGTCACCAATAATCTCTGTGGATAATTTCAAATATTATCTCATTCTTGTTGATCATTACACGCGATACACATGGTATTATCCGTTGCGACAGAAATCACAAGTACGGGAGACGTTTATTGCGTTTAAGAGTCTGGTGGAAAATCGATTTCAATGCAAGATCCAAACACTCTATTCCGATAATGGTGGTGAGTTTGTTGCTCTCCGACAAGTACTAGCGGCTCATGGCATTTCCCATTTGACGTCACCTCCACATACACCGGAGCACAACGGTATTTCGGAACGCAAGCATCGTCATATCGTGGAGACTGGGCTCACATTGCTCCATCAAGCTTCCATTCCTACGACGTATTGGACTTACGCATTTGCAACGGCGGTGTATCTTATCAATCGTCTACCAAGTCCGGTGATCAACAACACCTCTCCGTATGCAAGGTTATTTCAACAACCACCAAATTATCTAAAACTCCGAGTGTTTGGGTGCTTGTGTTTTCCATGGCTTCGCCCGTATACGAGTCATAAATTGGAGAGCCGCTCCCTGCCGTGTGCGTTTCTAGGCTACTCCATCACTCAAAGCGCTTACTTGTGTCTTGATCAACGAACTGGCTGCATCTACACCTCTCGCCATGTAAGGTTTATGGAAGATCAATTTCCGTTCTCGTCAGCCACCAATCAAATAGCCTCCTCGTCCGAACCAGAAAATCTTTCACCACAAAGTCACTCACCTCCAACATACATTACACTCCCTCATCCGCCACTCGTAATAGCCCCTTCGCCCCCGAGCACGGATCCTCACCCTCCGCCACCGCCACCTGCTCCGGTCCCAGCGCCGGACTTCACTCTTGAGTCACCAAGGCAAGAATCATCTTCGTCTTTGTCACTCTCGGGTGAAGCTGCAGGTTCAGGTAATGTAAATTTGGGCTCAGGAATTAATTCAACAAATACTCATGGTATTTCGCAGGCCCAAACGGACTCAGAGGCCCAACAGTCACCAAACCATTCACACAGCCCAACCCGATCCAACAACTCTTCCTCCTCAAATCCAGCAGCTTCATCATCGTCATCTTCCTCCGAAAACCTGCAACCACACCCAAATTCACCGCAACCTGCATTCACAAATCAACACCCAATGAGAACCCGAGCCAAGAATCATATCACAAAGCCAAAACAAAAGCTCTCTCTCACAGCCACCAAAATCCCGACCAAACCTTATATCCCTAATACCGTGAATCAGGCCTTGCGAGATCAGAAGTGGCGTGATGCGATGAGTGAAGAGATGAATGCACAAATTCGCAACAATACATTCGAATTGGTGCCACCAAGTCCACACCAGAATGTCATATCCACAAAATGGATTTTTACTCTAAAGTATCTTTCTTCTGGTGTCCTTGACAGGTATAAAGCTCGGTTGGTGGCGCGAGGCTTCAATCAACAATATGGGATCGACTATGCAGAAACATTTAGTCCTGTTGTGAAATCGCTCACAATTCGCCTAGTGCTACAACTTGCAGTCTCTCGTTCGTGGGATATCAAGCAATTGGACATAAACAATGCATTCCTTCAAGGAACTCTCACTGATGAAGTCTATGTTTCTCAACCACCCGGGTTCATTGACAAAGACCGTCCACATTATGTATGCAAGCTGAAGAAAGCTCTTTACGGATTGAAACAAGCTCCGCGCGCGTGGTATCAAGAACTCAAGACTTTTCTTTGTACCACGGGATTCTCTAATTCACTTGCTGATACTTCGGTGTTTATTTATATCCAAGGAGCTGACATTGTCTACATTTTGGTATACGTTGACGATATTATCGTCACGGGTTCAAGACAAAGTCTCATCTCTCAATTCATCACCAACTTGGCCAACCGGTTTTCGTTGAAGGATCCAAAGAATTTGTCTTATTTCTTGGGTATTGAAGCTACTCGAACAACACATGGCCTACATTTAATGCAGCGGAGGTATGTCTTTGATTTGCTGGTCAAAATGAATATGATTGATGCCAATCCTGTTTCTACTCCAATGGCGCCAACTCCATCATTGACTCTAATGTCGGGAACATTACTTGATGATCCCAAAGAGTATCGAACAGTGGTAGGCAGCCTTCAATATTTGGCTTTCACACGGCCTGATATAGCGTACGTTGTCAATCGCTTGTCGCAGTTCATGCATCGCCCCACTGATTTACATTGGAACGCGGTAAAACGGGTATTAAGATATCTCGCTGGAACAACGTCTCATGGGATTTATCTGAATGCTGCTTCACCACTTACTCTTCATGCGTTCTCGGATGCGGATTGGGCACGAAATACCGATGATTTCGTCTCCACCAATGCTTACATCCTCTATCTCGGAAAATCACCAATCGCGTGGTCGTCAAAGAAACAAAAGGGTGTAGCTCGCTCCTCTACCGAGGCTGAATATCGCGCCGTCGCTAATACTGCTTCCGAGATCATATGGGTCTGCTCTCTTTTATCCGAGCTTGGTGTCATCCTATCATCTGTTCCAATCATCTATTGCGATAATATTGGCGCCACATATCTCAGCGCAAACCCGGTCTTTCACTCAAGAATGAAGCACTTGGCGTTGGACTATCACTTCATCAGAGATAATGTTCAATCCGGAGCTTTACGGGTAGCTCATGTCTCTACCAAGGACCAGTTAGCGGACGCTCTTACGAAGCCGTTAGCACGATCTCGATTCCATGAACTATTTGACAAGATTGGAGTGACTAAACCCCCTCCATCTTGCGGGGGCGTGTAGAATGTGAATATGTAAAGGGTAGATTAGTCTTTGTTTAATCCCTAATTAGCTTATGATTCTCCTTATATATATTGTAACATGTAAATCTAAATCAATAAGACATTCTCAAACCTATAATACCATCCTATCCTTTTATTACCTTGTTTTCCTTTACAATCGTGTAGAAGCGAGCTTCTTGGCAAAGAGTTTTGTGCTTAATTTTGTGGAATCTTCTGAACATTGGCCTTTAAAAAGAGAGACATTTCTGCTGCGTTGGCAAAGAGTGGGCTTCTTGGCAAAGAGTGGGTTTTGTGTAGAACAACGAATTTTGCCACGGAATGTTTTGGTTGTCAAAGTAGTAGAATCAGTTTAATAAGTTAATATCCTGCCCTTAGTCATATGCATTAAGTTAACTAAACTTAATAAGATGTATGGCTTAGAAATAAGATGTTTTTGTCTATTTTTGGAGTTGCTTAGTGTGTAGAAAAATATCACTCTTCATTGGATTAAAAATATACAATTTTGTATTTTATAAATCAAATCTGTGTATTTAGTTATAACCTAAATGTTGTGTTTCTCTTTCTAGTCTCTTAAGAAAGCAAGTCTATTTTTTTTCTTAAAAACAAAGTTTGTATAATTTCTTGGGATTCCCATGACCATATGTTCTTTGAATACCCGAATTCTCAAAGGCAGTTTGGTTGTCCCTCGCATCTCATGTTTTCCATAGCCCTCCTCTGCACTTGCTGAAGAAGTTAAATGGTTTAGTTTTGGAAGCAGAATCATCATAACACAAGACATGCAATTGCTTATTTCATCAGTAGTGACGAGTGTCTACGAAGTTGAGCTCTTGAGATGTTACGAAGTTCGACAGCTCTTTAGGTCAGATGCCTTCAAACATAGAGATGAATGATGATCATGTATGTTTCGAGCAGTCTACATATCGAGCCTTGAATCTTTTAGGTCATGTTTATTTGACTTTGAGAAATATATTCACTTTGTTGTGTGAAAGAGGTCAACTTTAAGAAAGAATAAATGCAATAGTATATAGTCTTTAGATTCATTTGATTTATTTAGGTCTAATCAGTTGTTTAGATTCAGGAATATTAACTTGATGTGTTTGTTTGTTCCTTAGTTTTTAAGAATCTTAGCATCTCCAATGGTGTATCTTAGGTGATTCTTAGCAAAAAATCTTAGATTAAAATACTTGAAAATAAAACAAAACTCTGTAAATTGCTAAGAAGTGCTAAGAAGTATATCTAAGCTAAGATTTTTTTGGTGTGTTAAGAAGTGATGACGTGTCGAGTGGTGGTTTGTCTGAGAAATGAACAAAATGAAAAAAAACAAAATCCCGTGTTTTTGTTTCTTCTCTGACTCCGTCGACTCTCTCTCTATGTCTCTCTATTCTTCGACTCCTCCGACAGCGAAATCTCTCCGATGCTTTTGATCCGCCTCAGATCTCTCGCTCTTTCGTCTTCTTCTTCTTTCCGATTTGCACATCGTCCTCTGTCATCGATTTCACCGATAAAGTTACCGAATTTTCGTGCTTTCTTTGGTACCGCAATGACAGATACTAAAGATGCTGGTAAGGATGCTGTTCAGAGACGTCTCATGTTTGAAGACGAGTAAGTCTTTTCTTTGATTTCTTATTCTCTCTACTTTGATTTCAATTTTTGGGTGTTGCCAAAATTTTACATTTTTCTTTTAAGTCGTATTCACGAACCTGGTTTGTCTTCATCGTTGGGTCACTGGGAAAATGGAAAGAAAATTGACCAAGTTAGGTAACTGGATTTGGAGTTTTTTCGATTAACAATGATTTAGGAACTTGGGTCTGTTGATTTGTCGACTTTGATGTAATAAAAAATGAGTTTTGGATTTAGTACTTGTTAGGGCCATCTTTTATGGTATCTTCTGTGAAAGGTGTCATTGTTTTTAGGAGGAACATAGTCATGTTTAGCTATGTTCACAGGTTTTTGGCCAACAATAGATTCTTCGGATATATATTTTTGTATCTCTCCTTTTAGACAATTTTCTGATCATAATGATTGATTTTTTTGCTATGATGGAAGTGTTTCCTCTAAGATTTTTAGGTTTCTTGATGCATAGTACAAGAATCTATACGATCTCTCCACCTTAATTTAGTGATTTGATTCTTCGTTTTCAATCTTGCTTGCAGATGCATTCTTGTTTATCGTTCTCCTATGACTGAAGTCATTGAACTTAGCTACAGTTGGGGGATCAAGAATTGATATAGCGTGGGTGATTTGATTTAATGTTGATCTAGCTAGCACCTTTGAGTGTCCATGAAATGTCTTAGGTCTCTCCGTGAATGTGAACATACTAAAATGATAGGAGGGCTGTTTAATCTCTGTCTATTCCCTTGTTCAAGATACTGATACCTTTTCAAATTTGCAGGTCATCTGATGGCTGTTCTCCTCTGTTTCTCTCTGTGACATCTTCCCCTCTGTTTCAATGATGATACTAGCAATTCTTTAAATTCTCCTTTGTAATGTGTTTTACTCATTGTTACTTGTATTGTAAGACAATGTTTTACAACACTTTGAATTTTTTTTTTCTTAAGAACCCCTTGATTCTTAACCATTGGAGTAGTAATTTGTTAAGATCTTCTCTAACTTTTCTTAGCTCCAAAACAGTGAAATTTTAATTTAAAATAAGGCTAAGATTCAAGGTTAAGGTTAAGAAGAAAGAACCTTCTAAGAACATATGCAATGCAAGTCTCTCAACTACAAAAATAATAAAATAACAAATAATAATATTAAATTATATGAGTCTCTCTAAAGAGAAGAGCGAGTCTCTCATAGTCTCTCCCATCCATACACTAGAAACAAACCATTATAAAGAGGAAAACAATCTCTCATCACTAAAGAGACCTGCAAGCCAAAAAGAATAGCTACAAGCAACATAAGAATTAAGACGAGAATCCCTTAGTGACATTTTGTGCGATGAGAGAAGCTCATGTATTTGATGTCAGAGTTTCCACAACCATTCTCCATTCCAAAATTAAATTCAGCATTGACAATATATGTGATGACTAAGACCTAAAAGATGGCCAAGCTTGAGACCAATTAACCACTCCAACTAGAACCACATCCTCCACAACAAAGACAACTCTGTTTACTATGTGGCTAACCATACTCTCCACCGCCCAGACAATGCTAAGAAAATGTGTTTCCAATTTAGTGGAGTTGTAACTGTTATGCATCAGAAGATAAGAGGTAAAACTCCACTAGAATCTTCGAAAGGAAAACCTTAATTTTTGGTTCAGTCTTGAGCTTCCAAACTTTATGTTTTAACTCGTTGGTTGAAGGTTGCACATTGCTTCATAGATCACACCACTCTTATAAAGCTGAGTAGCCAACCAATAACCCGATTTCACGTAGAAATCTCCACATTTAATTTGTTGTTTTTCAAGACTACAAAATCATCCATTGACACCACTAGTTTGTTGCGATCTTATAAAGCTGAGTAGCCAAACCAATAACCCGATTTAATTTAGAAAACGTACGTGAGTCAAGCCGAATAAACTAGATGCAACCTATTCGTTTTAAACTTGTAATTGTTTTTTAAATTATCCATATCAATCGTCTTTCTCGTCGACAGTTGACTCAGTTGTAACCATTCGTTTGATCGATAATCAAACAAACAGTTGAATCTTCAACCAATCAAAACCACTAAATGCCAAAACACCAGAAAAGTAAGAGGATGGTTTTTGTTCGTTAATATTTTATCCATGCTCATTTTCTTATTTTGGCGGCCCATCTTTTCTCTACCCTCTTTCGGAGTAGCTTAGTGAAACAGAAGCTGACAGAAAAATAGAAAATGCCAGGAAATGCACACTTAGCAGCATAAAGACTCTTTATAGTCAACTCCTCTAGTGGTAGTGGCTATATATATCCTTGAGAGTTATTCATAGAAGAATCAGAAATCAAAATGTCTTGTGCTACTGCGACTAAGTACGATGTTTTTCTGACTTTCAGAGGACTTGACACTCGCCGCAACTTCATCAGCTTTCTCTACCAAGAACTGGTTCGAAGGAAGATTCGAACCTTCAAAGACGACAAAGAGCTGAAGAATGGCCAGAGGATTTCGCCGGAGCTCAAACGCGCCATCGAAGAGTCGAGATTCGCCGTCGTTGTTGTCTCCCAGAACTACGCTGCGTCTCGTTGGTGTCTCAAAGAGCTCGTGAAGATCATGGATTTCGAAAACAAGGATTCGATCACCGTGATACCCATCTTCTACGGCGTGGAACCGGCCGGTCATGTGAGATGGCAGACCGGAGTTGTCGCTGAACATTTTAAGAAGCATGAGAGTAGAGAAAAGCATGAGAAAGTGCTTCAATGGAAGCAAGCGTTGGCCGCTTTTGCGCAACTATCCGGCGATTGTTCAGGGTAACTTGCTGATAAAGATTGAATTTTTTTTATTGTTAAGACTTATTTGAATCGATGCTAAACTTTCCTTTTTTTTTTGTCTCTGTAGGGATGATGACTCGAAGCTGGTCGCTCACGAGATATCAAAAAAGATGAAGATTTTTGCAACAATAAGCAATGGGAGGAACCTAGTTGGGATTGATACACACATGAAGGAACTTAACAAAAAATTGGATTTGAATTCCAACAAAGGTGTGAGAATGGTTGGGATTTGGGCAAGAGGAGGCGAAGGTAGATCGGCTCTAGCTAAATATGTTTATCAGGACATGTGTCAACAGTTTGAGAGCCATTGTTTTCTGGGAAACGTGAAAACGGTTTCTCAGGGTCGACACTCAGCGCATCTACACCACGAGTTTCTGCAAAATATTCAAAGAGAAAACCCTAGCAAACAAACTCTCAAGAACCAAAAGGTTCTGCTTGTGGCAGACGACGTCGATAAGCTTGAACAGTTAGAAGCTCTTGCAGGGGATTTCAGCAGTTTTGGTCCGGGGAGTGTTGTTATCATCACCACACAAGACAAGCAGTTGTTGACTTCTTATGGTATAAAGGATGTCTACGAAGTAGAGTATTTGACATTCCAGAAAGTTTGTCAACTCTTCCGACGACAATTCGCCTTTAAAAAGAGAGACTTTTTTGCTGCGTTCCAGTGGGCTTTGTGTAGAGCAACGAATTTTGCCACGGAATGTTTTTTTAGTACATCTGGTTATGGGAAAGTGACAGATCAAATTTAATAAGTTAAATCCTTCTTAGTCATATGCATTAAGTTAATAAGCTGTGTGGCTTAGAGATAAGATTGTTTTGTTTCTTTTTGGAGTGGGTTGCTTGGGGTGTAGGAGAATATCATTCTTCATTGGATTCAATAATATACAATTTTTTTATAAAAAAATTCAAATCTGTGTATTATAGTTATAAATGTAAAATATACTTTAGAGATAAATGTAAATATTCCATACTAATATATGATAATCTTCTAGATCCTTCTTGATCTTCATGATTTCCTTATTCTTGGGCTTCTCATCTCGACCGTCGATTTCGGTTGATCTCCGGTTCAACCAATACCCCCCGGCAAGCTCATACGTGGTAACACGTGTGAGATTGGACAAATCTTAAAAATAGCGGCTTTATACCCGGCCATCGGGTCATCATCGACGTTTATACCCGGTCGTAGGGTCAAAGCGGCTACAAAACCCAGCCGTTAGGTCATTGACGTTTATACCTGGTCGTGGGGTCATCAACGGCGTGTATACCCGGCCGTAGGGTCAAAGTTGTGGTCACCATCATGTTCGTAGTTAATGGAGAACCACATGGAAAAATACATCACCATCGTAGTTATGTATCTCCATCGGTTTTAAATCACAAGTCTTGGTCGCTCTTCGAACCTTTTGTTCATAAAGAAACTTGTGTTATATTCAAATTCATCACCACCGGATCAGCATCGTATCTATTGGAGTCCTAGTCATCAACTCCACAGCATCGTTGGAGTAGTTTCATCACCATCACCATAAGCAATCATCGGAGGTGTTCATCAATACGGCATCACCATATATAATCACGTGACTTAAGATATCTTTTTCTCCAAGGTACTAGCAAGTATGCTAGTCAATAGAAAAAAAAAAAAAAAAACATCAATCGTGACCAATAACTTGACCAAACCAACAACGTATACAATATCACGTCGTCTCCATTCTTCTTCTTTTTTTTTTTCTCGATACACCAAAAGTAAACAGAAATTGAAATCAAAGGAGCATGTTTGATTTTCCAAAGATGAAAAGTAGTAAATCAAAGAGACGAATCTCGAATCAACATTTTTTTTTTTTTTTTCATAGTTGCGGAAGCAAAGAAAACCTTAACCCATATAAATAGGATCAAGGCTCTGATACCATGATAAATTGATGAGAGTAAGAATACAAAAAGTGTTTAGAAAGAATTATAATTAGACTCTCATAAGATTCATGTTCTAAAATACATCGATATATATAGAGAAAGACTAAACTTAATTTCCTAAATTAAAATAAAGATAAATGTAAAATATACTTTAGAGATAAATGTAAATATTCCAAACTAATATATGATAATCTTTGATGTGTTGCGTTTTTAACGGTTTCGAGTCTTGGTTTAGTTCATGTTTTGAGTCATCTATCGTGTCAAAGTCCGTCTTTTGCGCCTTTTCGGTTGTGTCTTGAGTCCTTTGCAGGCTATAGGTGCTCGAGCTGGATTCGGAGCATCTTGTGCATGATTGAGCCTATTCGGAGCTAAAACAATGGAGAAACGGTACAAGAGATCACCAGGAGCTGGGGATCGATCGATCCAAGGCGTGGATCGATCGATCCCAATTGTGACGATGAAGCCAAAAGTTCCAGTCGCTCGAGATCGATCGATCCCAGGAGGGGATCGATCGATCCAACCTCATTCGTCCAAGACCAATTGATTCAGCATTTCTGGATCGATCGATCCACCCATGGGATCGATCGATCCAACCTCATCCGTCCAAGACCAATTGATTCAGCATATCTGGATCGATCGATCCACCCATGAGATCGATCGATCCGAGCCTCGACGCCCCGAGACGGTTTTCCTAAACCGGGTTTTGTCTTTCTTTTTTGTACTTGGATATAAAAACCGCAGAAACCTAATTTTCTTTTTACGTTCTTTTCTCTGCAACTTTTGAGACTTCTCTTTGTAAGCTTTTTGGGATTCTAGAGATTCATCCTCTTTGACACTTTGGAGAAGATTTCTAAACCCTTATTTCTTATTTATCAATTCAATTATGCTTTCTTTTCAATCTATTTCTCTTGTTTCTGTTGTTATGTGTGAGTAGTTTTTTAATTGGGATTTAGGGTTCTAATTAGGAGATTCAATGGATTAATGGATTGATTGTTATTAGGAATTTCATTCTTTAGGTTCTTTGATTCACATGTTCTTAATGCTAGAATAGGATTGATCACCCTGTTGTAGAACCTAGGTTTTTCTATGCATCAAAAGTATTCGATAGAATGCCTGAAAGAATGTGAATTGAGCAATGTATTTCTAGCCAACGAAAGTTGACGTTAGGACGCATTGTGAACTTAATGAACTTGTTTGGTAATGCGAATTTGACTAGGAAATTGCATGCGAAAGTTTAGTAATCGAATAGTCAAATTTAGTGATTAATGTCTTGAAAGGGAATTGGTCTAAATGTGTTCATGTTCAAGAACGGGTCGTAATTGTTGAATTCCTTGTCTCATGTTTCCATTGTTCGTTGATCTCTGAAATACCCTAACGCCCAATGTCTTTAAATCTTGAAGTTAAATCGTTTAATTAATTTGCATTTTTATTTTACAAACTGAAAACCCGAACAAGCAATCTTTTTAGTTTTAGCTAAGAACAAGTCTCGGAAATCCTTAGAGTATCTTTGGTCCTTGTGGATCGACCTCGAATATACTGCTTAACGGTTAAGTGTATTGAGTAATTACTCGAGCAATCAAGTTGGCGCCGTTGCCGGGGACCAATTGCGTTACCTAAGGATTTAGGATTAGCTTTTAGTCTAAAGCATTTTTTATTTTCTGCTACTAATTTTCGTTTTCGTTTTCTCTTTGGTGTTTTCAGGTGTATGACCCGCAGCCAAGGCTCGTCACATCTAGCGGATTACCAAGAGGATATCGGAAAATTTGAAAGAGCGAATAAGAAAAAGAAGAAGATAGCCGAGCAGAGAGAAGCTGAAATGGCTGAATTTGATGCTGCAGGAAATCTTCAGAATAGGGATGAACTTCCACTTGGAGGTGATCATCAAGGAGTGTTTCAGGATCCTCCACCGCCTAGAAACAATAATGCTCCTGCTGCTGGTGAACGTGATGCTGCTGCTAATGCCGCCCGTGTAGCTGTAGCAAATGCTAGGCCCGTGCCTGCTCGACAGACTTTGAGAGATCATGATGCTCCTAATGTTGTGCATTTTCGAGACAGGAACCAACAGCTGCCAATCAATAGGAATGATTTTGAGATCAAGACAGGGTTGCTATCTTTGGTGAAGCAGAATCAGTTCCATGGTCTCACCTCAGAGAATCCAGTCTACCACTTGGATAACTTCGAGGATATATGCAGTACAACAAGAATGAATGGAGTACCTGATGATATCATCAAATGCAGACTTTTCACCTTCTCCTTGGCTGACAAAGCCCATCGCTGGTTGAAGTCTTTGGACACTGAGAATTTAAGAAGCTGGGAAGACTACAAGGCTGCATTTCTGTCACAGTATTTTACACAGTCTAGGACAGCCATTCTGAGGAACAAGATCTCTTCTTTTCAGCAGCATGGTACAGAATCGTTCCATGATGCTTGGGAGCGGTTCAAAGACTACTACAGAGAATGCCCTCATCACGGGTTTCCATATGCCACTTTGATCAATACTTTCTACAGGGGAGTCGATAAGGACTACAAGATGGCTTTGGATACTGCTAGTAATGGGGATTTCATGACCAAGACTGAGGATGAAGCTACAGAGCTTATTGAGAATTTGGCAACCAGCAACAGTAACCACAATGTTGACTATGACAGGTCGAACAAAGGTGGAGGAGGAGAGTCGAAACAGATTGCTGAGTTGACAGCTAAGGTAGAGCAACTCCTCAAGAGAGATCAGCGGGTTGTTAATTTCTGTGACGATAGTGGTGAAGCTCAGGTGTATCAAGAGTTCGTCGGGGACGGTTCAGAGGATGTTCAGGCTGAGTTAAACTACATCAACGGTCAGGGCAATTACCAGAACAGGGGATTCAATCAGAACTACAGGAACCACCCTAACCTTTCCTACAGGAGTACCAATGTAGAGAATCCGCAGGATCAGGTATACCCAGCGCAGACGGGATCACAAGGTCAGCAATTTCAGTCCAAGCCTTTTGTACCTGGACAGGGAAATTTCAACAATAAGGTGTTTGTACCTAAGCCACAGATGCAGGGCAATGGGTACAATCAGGGAGGTTTCCAGCAGAAATCTCAGTTTAACAACTTCCAGGGAAGTTACCAAGCACCTACAGGTAATAATTCTGCATCTTCTTCAGGAGACAATGAGATGAAGCTCATGATGCAGCAAATTCTTGAGGGACAGAAAAAGAACGCTGCAGATATTAATGTCAAGGTTGATAGCATGTACAGTGATCTTCATGGGAAATTCGAGTCACTAGCTTCACATGTTAAGACACTTGAGAATCAAGTAGCTCAAACAGCTTCTGCATCTACAAGACCAATGGGGGTTCTTCCTGGAAAGCCGATCACGAACCCGAAAGACTACAACAATGGTAAGGAGTATGTTAATGCTATCTCACTGAGGAGTGGCAAAGAGCTCAACCCAATCCTGAAGAAGGAAAAGGCTAAGGCCATTTCTGATGACTCGGGAAAGGATGATGTTGAGAAGAAGTCGGATGATGAGCCATTGGTTGAGAAAGTTGAAGCTGAGAAAACAGTCCCTGAGAAGGAGCAGGTTGAGAAAGTTGTACCACCACCTTATGTGCCTAAGCTACCATTTCCGGGCCGCTTGAGGAAGATTCAGAGAGAAAAAGAGTATGCTCAGTGTGATGAGATCATGAAACAACTTCACGTTAGACTTCCATTTCTCGAGTTAGTCCAGAATGCCCCGGTCTACAGGAAACATCTGAAGGACATTTTGACTAACAAGAGGACTCTTGAAGAAGGAGCTGTATTAATAAGTCATGAGTGTAGTGCCATTCTCCAGAACATTGTACCTGTGAAGAGAGAGGATCCAGGTAGTTTTGTGTTGCCTGGTACGATTAGAGAATTTTCTTTCGGTAGATGTCTCTGCGATTTGGGAGCAGGAGTGAGCTTGATGCCTCTTTCAGTCTCTAAGAAGCTTGGTATCACCAAATTCACTCCAACGAAGATGTCGTTGATACTTGCGGATCGTTCTGTTCGATTTCCTGTTGGAGTAGCTGAGGATGTGTACATTCGCGTTGGGAACTTCCATATCCCGACCGACTTTGTCATCATTGAGCTTGACGATGAGCCAAGAGATCCGCTCATTCTTGGTAGACCATTCCTGAATACTGCAGGTGCATTGATAGATGTGAGGAGAAGTAAGATCAAGCTGCAAATTGGTGATATTGTTCAGGAGTTTAACATGGAGAGAGTGATGTCTAAACCCACCATTGAGGGTCAGACATTTTGGGTAGACATCATGGATGAGCTAGCTGATGAGCTCTTAGAAGAGTTGAACACCGAGGATCCTCTTCAGATTGCCTTGATTACGGAAGAGAGTGAGTTTGGGTACCTTGGAGAGGCAACTACTGGGTTTGCTAGGATGCTGGATTCTAGTTCACCAATGACAAAAGTGGTAGCAGTCGCTGAGTTTACAGAGAATGAGGTAGAGAGAGCTATGGTTGTTTCTACTACAGAGGACTGCGATGTTTGGAGCGAGCTGAAAGCTCCAAAAATTGAACTCAAACCACTTCCTGCCGGGCTAAGGTACGCGTTTCTTGGTCCTAACTCCACATACCCTGTGATAATTAATGCTGAGCTGAACAATGTGGAGAGCGCCCTGTTGTTATGTGAGTTGAGAAAGTACAGAAAAGCCTTGGGCTACTCTCTTGATGATATCACAGGCATCTCTCCAACTTTATGTATGCACAGGATATATCTAGAGGATGAATCAATGACTTCTGTAGAACATCAGAGACGGTTAAACCCGAATCTTCGAGATGTTGTAAAGAAAGAGATAATGAAACTTCTAGATGCGGGTATCATCTATCCTATCTCTGATAGTACTTGGGTGAGCCCGGTCCATGTTGTGCCTAAGAAGGGTGGTGTCACTATGATTAAAAACGAAAAGAATGAATTAATCCCAACAAGAACTGTCACAGGACACCGAATGTGCATTGATTACCGAAAACTTAACTCTGCCACCCGTAAGGACCATTTCCCACTACCCTTCATTGACCAAATGCTTGAAAGACTGTCAAACCATCCTTATTACTGCTTTCTTGACGGGTACTCGGGATTCTTTCAAATCCCGATTCATCCCGATGATCAAGAGAAAACCACCTTTACTTGTCCCTATGGTACATTTGCTTATCGTAGGATGCCCTTTGGTTTATGTAATGCCCCTGCCACGTTTCAACGTTGCATGATGTCTATCTTTAGTGATATGATTGAGGATTTTATGGAGGTTTTTATGGATGATTTTTCTGTGCATGGCACGTCTTTCGCTACTTGTTTGTCTAACTTGTGCAGGGTACTTCAGCGCTGCGAGGACAAACACTTGGTTTTAAACTGGGAGAAATGTCACTTTATGGTGAGGGATGGCATTGTACTTGGGCACAAGATTTCGGAGAAGGGTATTGAGGTTGACAAAGCCAAGATTGAGGTGATGATGAGTATGCAGCCGCCGAATTCTGTGAAAGGAATCAGGAGTTTTCTGGGACATGCTGGTTTCTACAGGCGGTTCATCAAGGACTTCTCCAAGATTGCTAGACCGCTCACACAGTTACTCTGCAAGGAACAGAAGTTTGAGTTTGATGAGAGTTGTTTGCAGGCATTCACGTTAATCAAGAACTCTTTGGTGAGTGCTCCTATTGTTCAGCCACCTGATTGGGAGCTACCTTTTGAGGTAATGTGTGATGCCAGTGACTACGCTGTGGGTGCTGTTCTGGGACAGCGGAAAGATAAGAAGTTGCATGTTATCTACTATGCTAGTCGCACTCTTGATGGAGCACAGGTGAATTATGCAACAACAGAAAAAGAACTCCTCGCGATCGTGTTTACTTTTGAGAAGTTTAGATCCTATCTGGTTGGGTCTAAGGTTATTGTTCACACGGATCATGCTGCATTGAGATACCTGCTGTCTAAGAAAGATGCCAAGCCGAGACTATTGAGATGGATACTTCTGTTGCAGGAGTTTGACTTGGAGATTAAAGACAAGAAAGGTATTGAGAATGGTGTTGTGGATAACTTGTCTAGATTGAGAGTTGAGGAAGATATTCCAATGAGAGACGCTCTTCCAGGTGAAGAGCTTGCTTTAATCGCAGACCGCTACATTAGTGAGATGGAGAGAGCACGCGTCAACGCTCTTGAGCTTATGACGTTACACACTGGGGAAGGCAATTTGCCTTGGTATGCTGATTTCGCTAATTACTTGTCTTGCGATGTTCCACCTCCCGATTTTACAGGTTACGCTAAAAAGAAGTTCTTGAAAGACGTGCAGCGTTATTACTGGGATGAGCCTTACTTGTATAAGAAGTGTGCTGATAATCTTTTCAGAAGATGCATTCCCGAGAGTGAAGTTGCTGGTATCCTCCATAGTTGCCACGCTTCAGATTATGCAGGCCACTTTGCTTCTTTCAAGACTGCTACAAAGGTTCTCCAAGCTGGTTTTTGGTGGCCTAGCCTGTTCAAAGATGCTCATGAGTTTGTTGCGAGATGTGATGCTTGCCAGCGCAAGGGGAGTATAAGCAAGAGGAATGAGATGCCTCAGAATTTCATTCTCGAAGTTGAAGTGTTCGATGTGTGGGGAATTGACTTCATGGGTCCTTTCCCATCCTCTTATGGGAATGAATACATCTTGGTAGCTGTGGACTACGTTTCTAAGTGGGTTGAGGCTATAGCGAGTCCGAAGAATGATGCTGCGGTGGTCCTCAAGATGTTTAAGAAGATCATATTTCCGAGATTCGGAGTCCCGAGAGTGGTGATTAGCGATGGTGGAAAGCACTTCATCAATAAAGTTTTTGCGAACTTGTTGGCGAAGCACGGTGTTAAGCACAAGGTAGCCACACCATATCATCCTCAAACATGTGGCCAAGTTGAGCTTTCTAACCGAGAGATTAAGGGAATCTTGGAGAAGACTGTAGGTAAGTCTAGAAAGGATTGGGCTGCGAGGCTAGATGATGCTCTTTGGGCATACAGAACCGCCTACAAGACTCCAATTGGAACCACACCGTTCAACCTAATCTACGGGAAGTCTTGCCATCTACCGGTTGAGCTAGAGTATAAAGCACTATGGGCTACAAAGTTGATGAACTTCGACATCAAGCCAGCTGCGGAACGGCGTTTGGTTCAACTCAATGAGTTAGACGAGATCCGTTTGAATGCTTACGAGAGTTCCCGGATCTACAAAGAGAGAACCAAAGCAATACATGACAAGAAGATCATCTTGAAGCAGTTCACGGAAGGTGATAAGGTACTCCTTTTCAACTCTAGGCTTAAGCTCTTCCCTGGAAAACTCCGATCAAGGTGGTCGGGTCCTTTCGTTATAAAGGAGATGAGATCAAATGGTTCAGCGATACTTTTGGATAATGATGGGAAACCGTTTTCCACAAACAGTCAAAGGATGAAGCCTTATCTCGCGAACTCAATTCCTGAAGAGAGCACTACGGTCTCTCTCACGGACCCAGCTCAAGCGTAAGAACTCATTGAGGTCAAGCTAACGACCTTAAGCAAGCGCTTCGTGGGAGGCAACCCACTAGGTATTGTACATACTTTGTTTTCAATTTTTCATTTTCGTTCTTCTTTTCGTTTTGACTTGATTCACTCCGCTGTGGAGATCGGACTTATCGATCCAGCTGTTGCATCGATACAGTCTCGGTATTTGATGTTGCTTGTGAGTTTGACTTTGAGTGCAGGACCTCCACGTTGCATAACCAGGATTCCAGAAGATGTAGATCGATCGATCCCAGAAGTGGATCGATCGATCCAGATGTTGGACGTCGCCTGCACAAAGTCACCAGAGGCTGGGGATCGATCGATCCCACCACCAGATCGATCGATCCCAAGGTAAGGTCGATAATTTTTTTTTAAAATTTGGATAAACCGGAATTAAACCGATCTCGACTTGAATTGAACCGGTCATAACCGGATCGACCTAGCCTAACCACGGGATCGAGCTCCCCCTTCTCATTCACGAGCCACACACTTCTTCTTCTTCGTTTTTGAGAGGTTTCAAGAACACAAAATCCCCAATTCATAACTTTCTCAATTCTTGATCGATTTCAACGTTTTTGGTGTCCATTCCACTCGGTTTTTCGCCCTCTTTCTGTTTCTAGTGTTGGTTTCTTCGATCTGCAAAGGTACGAGCTCGAAATTCCTCTTTTTGGTTCCGTCTTCAAAGGTGAAGAATCACTAATTCCTTGAATTTCATGCTGTTTTTGGATTGTTTGATGCTAGATTCTTGTCTAGGATGGTTTAGGAAACCTTTTTATGCCTTTAATTGCTGGATTAGGGCTTAAATTGAAGATTGGATTTTTCTCTCTTTGATAAAGACGGCCATGGTTGAATTTTGTAGATAAACGATTTTAAGAGCTTTAAACTTGATAGGTTACGATGCATTGTTTAGTTCTAGTAACTAAAATACAATGATTAAGCTCTTTGATTTGTTTTTGAGTGATTTCTTGATTTACCTTTGTCTCTTTTGCTAGATATGGGACGAACAAACGAGGTTGCAGGAACTTCTAGACCACGCACGGGCACTTCCAAAGCTCCACAGAAAGAAGATCCGAATAAGCGTCCTGTTACGGGCGTATGGGACAAAGAGGACACCAAGTTCATGGCAATTTTGAAAAATGTTCCTGTTTTACCAACACGAGTCGCTTCCAAAATAACGCTCGATATGCTCGGTTTGCTTGAGGATGTTACGACGGTGTTTCAAACGCTCGGCATGGGGAGATTGTGGAGAGTTGAGCATCGTGTGTACACTAAGCTTGTGACGGAATTCATAGCTACTTGTCGCCTCACATACCAGAACCCGCAGAAACCAACAGCAAGTGAAGGAACACTCACATTCTTCCTCAACAAACAGCATTATAGCAAGACTTTGTTCGAGATCTGCGACATGTATGGGTTCACCAAGGGCGAATCCGTTACATTCCCGAAATTATCTTCTGAGGTTGCTAATGACTTCTGGAACAAGATTGCTGTGGGACCCTACCAGTCGCGTAAGGCGAAAATTACTCTTATCCGGAGTCCGGTTGTGCGATATGTCGCAAAGATCATCAGTAGTGTGTTGTACTTCAAACCCGTGATCGCATCAGTGACAGAGACTGAGTTGTCAATGCTTTTCTATGGCGTCAAGCATCTGTTAGAAGACTATACTGATTTCCCAGCACCTGACGCTAATGTAGCTGCAATTCTGTGTGACGTGTTAGTAAAGATGAAAACTTTTGTCCCCAAATCCGCCGCGAAAAACATCTTAGCTGGTACTACACTCACTCCATTGTTTCTCGGCTGCAGGTTAGACCTCTCCAAAGTTGCGTATGACTATAAACAAGAGTGTATGGATATTCAACATCTGTACAATACTACCTACCTCAAAAAGGGTAGGGTGTATGTATTCACGGGTAGGGATGGTTCTTCTTGCTTCTGCAAGCTACCCAACCGGCATATCACCTCCCTTGTTTCTCTTGATAATTTGGAGTTCGCACTTGATGAGCAGTATTTGATTCCTGATCCTTCCGGGACCATACCTAGACGTCGTAGTCACGCACAGGCTCCACCTACAGATGAGCATTTTGTCGAAGAGGATGAGATTCAGGAGGACTTAGATGATCAGGCGCCTCCGTCGCATGCCCAACCGTACTTGTTGCTTCCAGAGGATCCAGGACAGTTCCGCCTTTCACCACCACCTGCAAGTAACGACATCTCCCAGCAGATGGCATGGATGATAGCATCGACGAAGAGGAACAACAGCATGATGCACAGGATGTGGAGAGCCATATCCAGGATCAGGCCTTGTGTGTGTACTCGCGGAGAAGGATCAGATGATGGAGACCGAGAGAACCGGTCTAAGGCCACCGAGGATCGGCATGCTGAGAGGTTGATCCCTGCTGCTGGACAGAGTAGAGCTTCGACTTCGCGGCGTTCACAAGAGCATTCTCCAGACACACGCTTAGGCAGGAGCAGGAGACAGCCAGGGGAGCAGAGCTCTAGCGAGAGCCCCACCCACCACCGTTGAGTACTACAGTAACTCACCCTTTTCCCTTGTTATATACCATTTTTATTTTCTTGCGTCCGTGTGGCATCTTTTCTTTGAACTGTTTTCACGCCGAGTCGGTGTGAAGCAAGTCGGGGGGAGGCTGCCACTTGTCTACTAATCTAGTTTGCATTTTTGATGTTTTTCTTTTGAGTCATCGAGTCTGTTTTATCGAGTCAAAATCGTGTCTTTTATTGAGTCAAAATGTTGTCTGAGAACTATGATCTTTTCTTAGGGAATTGCACCATGTTTGATTTAATTGCCTTTGGGACCATTTTAGCACTATTCGATAACTTGGAAGTTCAGGAAAATCCATCACTTGATCACTTTATAGTAGTCCCTATCTCTTTGAATTTTGGATGAATTGAGCTTAATCTTATATACTTGAACTTAATCTGGACTTAATTTATCTCACTTAGGGGCTTGAGAATCATGTAATGGATCATACATTCAGAGTTTTGTTCGCATCATTTTTACCACTCTTTGCTAACTCTGAATGGCTAGACTCATTTTTAGTCTAGTACCGCACCTGTTTCCCCACCCATTGTTTGAAACCTCATGCATTCTTATATGATCATCATGATATGCATCCATGTGCGAAAACTACGGAGTATACGGACCGACATAGCTTTCCTTTTGTTAGGATAGTGAGTTGTAGTTTACTGGTTGTCGATATGTGATGAGATTGAGCCATTGTGGTTTAGAGGTTATATTCATGGGTATATGCTGCTGTTTGCGATTGTTCTTGATGCAGATTTTTGTGAGACACCGGTTCCACTCCCCCGCTTCTATATATATAAAAAAAAAAAAAAAAAAAAAAAAAAAAAAAAAAAAAAACCGGAAATGTCGAGTTATTATTGGTTATATTGATAAGCATCAAGGGTACACTTTGATTTGATTGGGGGTAGTGTGTTGGTTGATTTGATCCGAGCTTAAGGGAAGCTATGTACCTCCTAGTTGGTCTGTGTCTCACTGTGATTTCGCATAATGTCATGCATCCGTTTATACTGTTCGAGAACCCGAAACACTTTGAGCCACCATATATTAGCCCTTTTTACCAAGCCCATAGCGTGTTCGATATCCCCTTTGTGAGAATACACGCCACTGCTAATGAATGTTAAAAGGTTAAGTTATCTGACTCTGAAAGTTCTTTTAGATCTCGGGACTTAATTTTGTTGCTACGGTTATGGCGAAGTACAGTCTAGTACGGTTTGATGAGTTGTGTGATAGTGGTTTGCAGGCAATTGATAGAACATGATCCCGAAGAAAATGTGAGTTCTCGTGTTTTCAAACCTCTTCTCTTGATAAGGATTTCTGCTTTCCTTGAGGACAAGCAAAGATTTAAGTCGGGGGGAGTGATGTGTTGCGTTTTTAACGGTTTCGAGTCTTGGTTTAGTCCATGTTTTGAGTCATCTATCGTGTCAAAGTCCGTCTTTTGCGCCTTTTCGGTTGTGTCTTGAGTCCTTTGCAGGCTATAGGTGCTCGAGCTGGATTCGGAGCATCTTGTGCATGATTGAGCCTATTCGGAGCTAAAACAATGGAGAAACGGTACAAGAGATCACCAGGAGCTGGGGATCGATCGATCCAAGGCGTGGATCGATCGATCCCAATTGTGACGATGAAGCCAAAAGTTCCAGTCGCTCGAGATCGATCGATCCAACCTCATTCGTCCAAGACCAATTGATTCAGCATTTCTGGATCGATCGATCCACCCATGGGATCGATCGATCCAACCTCATCCGTCCAAGACCAATTGATTCAGCATATCTGGATCGATCGATCCACCCATGGGATCGATCGATCCGAGCCTCGACGCCCCGAGACGGTTTTCCTAAACCGGGTTTTGTCTTTCTTTTTTGTACTTGGGTATAAAAACCCCAGAAACCTAATTTTCTTTTTACGTTCTTTTCTCTGCAACTTTTGAGACTTCTCTTTGTAAGCTTTTTGGGATTCTAGAGATTCATCCTCTTTGACACTTTGGAGAAGATTTCTAAACCCTTATTTCTTATTTATCAATTCAATTATGCTTTCTTTTCAATCTATTTCTCTTGTTTCTGTTGTTATGTGTGAGTAGTTTTTTAATTGGGATTTAGGGTTCTAATTAGGAGATTCAATGGATTAATGGATTGATTGTTATTAGGAATTTCATTCTTTAGGTTCTTTGATTCACATGTTCTTAATGCTAGAATAGGATTGATCACCCTGTTGTAGAACCTAGGTTTTTCTATGCATCAAAAGTGTTCGATAGAATGCCTGAAAGAATGTGAATTGAGCAATGTATTTCTAGCCAACGAAAGTTGACGTTAGGACGCATTGTGAACTTAATGAACTTGTTTGGTAATGCGAATTTGACTAGGAAATTGCATGCGAAAGTTTAGTAATCGAATAGTCAAATTTAGTGATTAATGTCTTGAAAGGGAATTGGTCTAAATGTGTTCATGTTCAAGAACGGGTCGTAATTGTTGAATTCCTTGTCTCATGTTTCCATTGTTCGTTGATCTCTGAAATACCCTAACGTCCAATGTCTTTAAATCTTGAAGTTAAATCGTTTAATTAATTTGCATTTTTATTTTACAAACTGAAAACCCGAACAAGCAATCTTTTTAGTTTTAGCTAAGAACAAGTCTCGGAAATCCTTAGAGTATCTTTGGTCCTTGTGGATCGACCTCGAATATACTGCTTAACGGTTAAGTGTATTGAGTAATTACTCGAGCAATCAATCTTCTACATCCTTCTTAATCTTCATGATTTCCTTATTCTTGGGCTTCTCATCTCGACCGTCGATCTCGGTTGATCTCCGGTTCAACCAATAGAAGACAGTCTTCGGGTTTGGTTTGACACTCGTACATAACTCTTTTCTTCTGGTTTTAAGCAATTGTTTTTGACAAATGGACTCATTTGATGTAACCAAAGTTTTTTGATGAATACAAATTTAACATTCTTTAAAAAAAAAAAAAAAACAAACAGTTCAATCTCAACCAATCAAATTAGACTTCCAACCAAAACCAGTATATAAATGCCAATTCACCAGAAAAGTAAGAGGATTATAGATGACAACTTTGTTCGTTAATATTATTTTATTCATGCTCAGTTTCCTATTTTGGCTGCTAATCTTTTTCTCTTTTTTACAAACCCCTCTTTCTGAGTAGTTTAGTGAAACAGAAGCTGACAAACAAAAAAAGAAAATGCCAGGAAATAGACACTAGGACGAGTCTTACTTCAACTCCTCTAGCGATAGTGCCTATAAATCTCCTTGAGTTATTTAGTTCTATTAAATCATTAAGAGAACACAAAATCAAAATGTCTTCTGCTACTGCGACGAAGTACGATGTCTTTCTGAGTTTCAGAGGACTCGACACTCGTCGCAACTTCATCAGTTTTCTCTACAAAGAATTGGTTCGAAGAAACATTCGTACCTTCAAAGACGACAAGGAGCTTGAGAATGGCCGGAGGATTTCGCCGGAGCTCAAACGCGCCATCGAGGAGTCGAAATTCGCCGTCGTTGTTGTCTCTGTGAATTACGCTGCGTCTCCTTGGTGTCTCGATGAGCTCGTGAAGATCATGGATTTCGAAAACAAGGGTTCGATCACTGTGATGCCTATCTTCTATGGCGTGGATCCGTGTCATTTGAGGAGACAGAGCGGAGATGTCGCTGAACAGTTTAAGAAGCACGAGGCTAGAGAAGAAGATCTTGATAAAGTAGCTTCATGGAGACGAGCATTGACCAGTTTGGCGAGTATCTCCGGCGATTGTTCATTGAAATGGTGAAATTTCGTTACTTTGATGATAAAGATTGGATTTTTATTGTTGGATTTGATATGAATGGTTACTAAAGTTTCGATTTTTATTTTGTTTTCTCTCTGTAGTGAGGACGAATCGAAGCTGGTCGACGAAATTGCTGACAAGATATCAAAAAAGCTGATGGTTGTAACAACAATAAGCAATGGGAGTAACCTAGTTGGGATTGATACACACATGAAGGCTCTTAACCGAAAATTGGATTTGAATTCCAACAAAGGTTTGAGAGTGGTTGGGATTTGGGCAAGAGGGTACAATGGTAGATCGGCTTTAGCTAAATATGTTTATCAGGAAATCTGTCAACACTTTGAAAGCCATTGTTTCTTGGGAAGCGTGAAAAGGATTTCACATGGTCGCCACTTGTCGCATCTACACGAAGAGTTTCTGATAAGGATTCAAGGAGAATACGTGAGTAAACAGAATCTCAAGAACCAAAAGGTTCTGCTTGTGGCTGATGATGTCAATAAGCTTGAACAGTTAGATGCTCTTGCAGAGGACTTCAACTCTTTTGGTCCGGGGAGTGTTGTTATTATTACCACACAAGACAAGCAGCTGTTTGTTTCTGCTGGTATAAAGCTTGTTTATGAAGTAGAGCTTTTGAGATTCCAGAAAGTTTGTGAACTCATCCGAACATTCGCCTTTAAAAAGAGAGACATTTCTGCTGCGTTACAGTTGGTTTACTACAGGGCAACAAATCTTGCCACGAAATGGTTTGGTTGTATAAGTGGTAGATCTAGTTAGGGGAAAGTGTTATAATCAATTTTAAAGCTAAATCCCAATTAGGCATTACGTTTTGATCAAGTTTGAAGCCTCCCCAAAGAAGCTTCCGGTTGCCATCCAATCCTTTTATTACCTTGTTTTCCTTTCTAATCGTGTAGAAGCGAGCTCTTTGGCAAAGAGTTTCGTGCTTAATTGTGCTTTTGTATCTTCGGTTTAATTAATCTAAGGAAGTTGTGAAAAAAGAAGAATGTTAAAACGTGGCTTTGAAATATGAATGTTTTTGTGTTTTTTAGGAGTGGGTGTCTCTTGTGTATTTTTGAATATGATTCTTGAATGGACAAATAATATACAAATTTCCTTTGGGTTTTGATGTTTCCATATGCCCAACAAACTTGTAGAGCAGATCTAAATTGCCTAACTTTCATTCCTTGATTTTGCTTTTTTCCCAAGGAAAAAAGAATAATGATCATAGCTCAAAGTTCGGATCTAAAGTCTCCACATTACGATGTATCAAAGAAAGATTAGGGAAGAAGGTGGATGGATGGCAATCAAACTTCCTTTCTCCTGGGGGTAAGGAAGTTCTCCTTAAAGCGGTCGCTATGGCCCTCCCAACATACACAATGACTTGCTTCAAGCTCCCAAAAACAGTGTGCCAACAAATTGAATCAACAATGGCTGATTTTTGGTGGAAAAACAAGCATGAAGGAAAAGGTATGCATTGGAAAGCATGGATCAAGCTCAACCAACCCAAAGTTGTTGGTGGACTTGGGTTCAAGGATATAGAAGCCTTCAATGTTGCCCTCCTAGGTAAGCAGCTTTGGAGAATGATTACCAAGAAGGAGTCCCTAATGGCAAAGGTTTTTAAGAGCCAGTACTTGAGCAAATCTGACCCCCTTAATGCTCCTCTGGCCTCTAGACCCTCCTACGCATGGAAGAGCATTCACGAAGTGCATGCCTTGATCAAGGAAGGAATAAGAGCAGTGGTTGGTAATGGGAAATCAGTTGATATCTGGAAGGATCAATGGATCAGCTCTAAACCAGCGAAGCCGATTCAGACAATAAATTGGCTACCCCCAGGTCCTCGCCATGTTGTATCTTCCCTACAATATGTAAGTGATCTGGTAAATGTCAACGGTAGAGAATGGAATCAGGAGCTTCTGAACATGGGTTTTACAGAGGAAATTAAGGGGAAAATATTGGAGATTAGACCAGGGGGCAGAGATACAAAGGATCAATACTCTTGGGATTACAGTAAATCAGGTCACTATTCAGTGAAATCAGGATATTGTGTCATGGCTGAGATTATCAATAAAAGAAACAGTCCCCAAGAAGTCCTCCAACCAAGCTTAGATCCTTTATTCCAGGAGATTTGGAAAACAGATGCACCCCCTAAGATCCACCACTTCTTATGGAGATGTCTGAGCAACAGTCTGTCGGTGGCTGTGAACTTAAGCTACAGACACCTTGCTAAAGAAAAGAGCTGTATTAGATGCCCATCATGTGTAGAGACAGTGAATCACCTTCTATTTAAATGCTCTTTTGCCCGACTCACTTGGGCCATCTCCCCTGTTCCAGCTCCACCAGAAGCTGAGTGGTCTGACTCTTTATATAAAAATCTGCATCATGTGCTGTTTTGCAGCAAAGCTCAATCACAAGAGAATGATACCTCAACATTACTTCCCTGGATCCTATGGAAAAACAGGAATGATTTGGTGTTTCAAGGAAAGGAAATCTCTGCTCCACAAGTGGTTAATAAGGCAAAGGAAGATGAGGAAGAATGGCAGGCTCGTAAGGACCCGCAGCCCCTAAAAGAAAACAAACGCCAACAGGGCAATCAAATAGCTAAATGGAAACCTCCCCCACAGAATTGGGTGAAGTGTAACGTGGACGGTACTTGGACCGCAGATGCTCCCAAATGCGGAGTCCAAACAGTGCTGGAGACTGAGCTTGAAGCTCTTAGATGGGCGGTCCTCTCAATGTCCAGATTCAACTATAGAAGAGTGATCTTCGAGTCGGATTCTCAGCACCTAGTGTCCATTTTGAACGATGATCTGGAATGTTCAAATATAGCCCCAAGGATCCAGGACATTAGGAATCTCCTACAGCACTTTGAGGGAGTTCAATTTGTGTTTACACGGCGATAAGGGAATAAAGTGGCGGACAGAATTGCAAGGGAATCTCTTTCTCTTTTGAATTATATATGATCCCAAATTGTATTCTTTGATGCCTGATTGGGTTAAAAACCTTGTGGATCTAGACTCAGTGTAATTGTGATTGGGTGATTGATAAGTTGTTGTTGAGCGAAAAAAAAAAAAAAAAATGACTCACAAATCTAACATGATAAAACAGAGAAAGGGAAGCTTTTGAAGAGAACGATCCAAAAACGTGAAAGCTGACTTCTTTTGCTTTCTCTCACTGGTACAAAATACAATTCTATCTGGCAGTTTCCTTTGTCCGATTTATGCTTTTTGATTGATCCTTGTTTGCTTCCTTCTTGGGCTTTAAAGTCTCATGGACATAATTTACATGCGTCCTCTTTATATTTAGCTCATTTGCTTATAAGAGTAGGCCACTAAGGCCATCATTAACGGTAGTTCCTTAGCAAAAATCTTAGGTAATAACTAATAAAAATTAAATGATAAATCACTATTAAAGTTAACAAACGTTCCTTAACTAAGAGACATTTTATTCACCTAAGAGGTGGACACGTGTCTCACTATCAATCGTCGCGTTTTCTCTGCCTCTCTCTCTCTTCTTGCGACTGAGAAACCAAATAACCAAAAACTTCAAATCTTCGTCTCCTCCGTTGATTGTTACAGCCGGTGAATCGGGGGATGGCATCTTCTTCCTCTCTCTCTCTCTCTCTCTCTCACGTGTTTCTCTTCAAAGGTGAAGGATATTTAGAGTTTAATCGGACAAGTCTCCGATGTAAAAACGAAGAAGATTACTTCAATTGAGATTGAGAGGCATAGAGAGAGATTTGATTATTCGATCGAATCAAGCTTTGTTTGTTAGTAGCGGGAATAGCTTATGCAGAAATCTCAATCCAAGCACAGTCTTCACTCATCTTCCTTCTCTTCGGCCTCCGCCACCGCTGTTTCTGATGCCACCACTACTCCTTTCGCTTCTAGGTTTCTCTTCGGGTATGTATTGTCTCACTCTCTCTGTATCGGATTTGGATTTGTTTGACTTTCACTGGATCGTGGTGGATTGAGTTATTGGATTTGATTACTCTGTTTTCTGATTTTGATCAGGATTAGGGTTAGTTCATAATTGATCATCTTCTATTGTTAAATCGTAACATCTTCTTCACTCCTCTCGTTGGTGTGATCATGGCCACCACTAAGCAGGTTAGAAGAGAGAGTCACATGCTTATAACTTGGCTTCAAAAACCGGTTATGATCATTAAACCATGGATCTCTGGTTTCACATACAATCTAGTCTTGGTAATTTGCAGATTTGTAGTTATAATTGAGCGGTCACACTAATCCATGGCTATGTCAATTACTAGTAAATATCATATTCTGCAATCTAGTTTGAAGTATAGGTTAATTGTGGTCAGATTATAACATCAATGATGATGATGATTTCCTAAACAATGCTTCGTGATTTCATAATTCGAACTCCTAATTGACAATTAAAGGAACAATATGGTGAGGATTGAGACGACGGAGTGAAGACAGTGATGAATCGAAGACTGAATGAGGTTTGTGAATGCAGGTTTGCTATGTTGCGTTTTGGGATGAAGTTACTCTTGCAACACATGAAGCAGAGGGGTCATAAGATCAATGAGAATGATCACATTGGAACAGAGAAACAAAACAGAGAGAATAAGAGAAAGAGGAAACTGACCTCAAAGAAGTGTGAAGAGGTCAGAATGTCAACAAATACATGTATAAGAAAATGGTCTTACTAAATTTTGGGCGAGTAACAATTTCAAAGGTTGTTGTTATCAATGAAAGAGCATCATAATAACCAAATATCAATACTGCAGTTTCTCATTTAATAGTGCTCAGATTCCACAAACTAAAGATACCATGATACTAACAAGAGGCAACAATTCAAAATTTTTGGTCGAGCATATATGGCAAAAATTTCCCAGAAATCAAGTTTAAAATTATTGTGTTTTATGTCATCTATGTTATAAATTGTATCTCATGTATGTTTTAATTTTTTTAATTTGCAACAATTATTAAATTTTCTATAATTATAAATTTTATTTTTATATTAATATTTTTTTTTCTAAGAACCACATGTTAAGAGCCTACCATTAATCACACAAAAATCTTAACTCAAAAATGCTATCTCTTAACCATCACTTTTACAAATAAATTACTTAAATATTACTAAGAAGTATTTCTAAGTGATTACCTATAATCATGCTCTAAGATATACACGATGTCATTTTCTTTGACTAATTTTTTGGAGATTTAGAGGAGTGTTTCCATTTCGTTAATTTATCAATAAATTAATAAAATATATTTAGTTACGATATTATTGATTATAGTACAAGTTATACTGTAGAATGCTTCATTTATTACGTCCACCATAACAGAGAAGGTTAGACGACATTATTCTTGCAAAATCTACATGTTCTTCATAAAATCAATTTTAGATGCTATTCGACAACATAATTTAGAGGAATTTGTGTTTGTGTCATTTAGTTGACTTTGATATTAATTTATTTGGCTGCTGGCCTTTTCTTTTTAACAAACAGAAGCTGACAAAGGATTGACAATAAAGAAAATGCCAGGAAATTTACGCTTGAAGGAGTCTGAGTCTGAGTGGGCGCCCACGCGGCTATAAATCCTACTGATTCCATATCTCGAACTGAATCAATGAAATGTCAGATACTTCAATTACCATCCCAAAGTTTGATGTTTTTCTGAGTTTCAGAGGACTCGACACTCGCCGCAACTTCATCAGTTTCCTCTACAACGAACTGGTCCGAAGAAACATTCGAACTTTCAAAGACGACAATGAGTTGAAGAATGGCCGGAGGATTACGCCGGAGCTCGTACGCGCCATCGAGGGGTCGAAATTCGCCGTCGTTGTGGTCTCCGTGAATTACGCTGCGTCTCGTTGGTGTCTCGAGGAGCTCGTGAAGATTATGGATTTCGAAAACAAGGGATCGCTCAAGGTGATGCCTATCTTCTACGGCGTCGATCCGTGTCATGTGAGGAGACAGATCGGAGTAGTCGCTGAACAGTTTAAGAAGCACGAGGCTAGAGAAGGAGATCACGAGAAAGTGCTTTCATGGAGGCAAGCGTTGACCAATTTGGCGAGTATCTCCGGCGATTGTTCATGGAAATGGTGAAATTTCGTAGCTTTGATGATAAAGGTCGAATTTTTATTGTTAGATTTGAGTGAATGGATTCTAAAGTTTCGATTTTTTACTCTGCAGGGAAGATGACTCGAAGATGGTCGACGAAATTACTGACAGGATATCAAAAGAGCTGATGATTGATACAACAAGACGCAATGGGAGTGATCTTGAGGGGATTGCTGCACACATGAAAGCTCTTCGCCGATTATTGAATCTAAATTCTAAGAAGAGTGTGAGAGTGATTGGGATTTGGGCAAGAGGATACAATGGTAGATCGGCTCTAGCTAAATTTGTTTATCAAAACATCTGTCAACACTTTGAAAGCCATCGTTTCCTGGAAAGTGTGAAAAGGATTTCTCAGGATCGCCGTGAAGAGTTAATGATACGGATTCAGGAAGAATGCTTGAGCAAATTCAAGAACCAAAAGGTTCTGCTTGTTGCTGACGATGTCAATAAGCTTGAACAGTTAGATGCTCTTGCAGAGGACTTTAACTGTTTTGGTCCGGGGAGTATAGTTATCATCACTACACAAGACAGGCAGCTGCTTATCTCTGCTGGCATAAAGCTTGTTTATGAAGTAGAGCTTCTGAGATTCCAGAAAGTTCGTGGACTCTTCAGACAATTAGCCTTCAGAGAGAAAGACTTTTCTGCAGCGTTTGAGGTGTCTTTGTATAGGGCAACGAATGTTGCCATGGAATGGTTAGGTTGTATATGTGGTAGATCTGGTTAGGGGAAAGTGTTAGAATCACTTTTATAAAGCCGATCCCTTTTTTTTTTTTTCATGTACATTAAGTTAAGAATGACTAAACTTAGTATGATGTGATTGTGGCTTAGAAATAGGAATGTTTTGTCTATTTTTGGAGTGGGTTACTGGTGTATAGAAGAATATTATTCTTTGATTGGATTTTATGATACACAATTTTTTTTTCAAGTTTGGGTTTTGATGTTTCCATATGCCCAACAAATTTGTAGAGGAGATCTAAATTTCCTTGCTTTTGCCTTTTCCAAGGAATAAAGAATAATAACTCAAAGTTTTGGAACCTAAAATGACTAACATGGAAAAACAGAGAAAGGGAAGCTTTTGAAGAGTGAGATCCAAAAGCGTGAAAGCTCTGATCTTCTTTTTCTCACTGTCACCTTGAGGATTTTCTGTCTAAGAAAGACAAAGAATGGGTACTATTTCTCTCTCTCTGTCTGGCAATTTTTCTTTTATCAGATTTATGCTTTTTGATTGATTCCTGATTGTTGGTTGGTTCTTTGTTGTTTTGCTAGCAACGTAGATCCATGTGATTTGATATATACATGAGTCCCTTTTTCTCTGCTTTCTTAAGAAAGAATGTCGTTGCTATTGGTTTCAGAAAGTAATCCCTCTGCATGCGTAAATAATTTTAAGTCCTAGTTGTCTCTCGTTTCATTGCAGAATTGTTTGATTTCATTGTCGAATACTCCATATCATTAGGAGCCATTAATTGTTTATTAACGGCTTCCATGACAAGCTACTTATTCCATATTGGATGCAGATAAGAGCGAGGGATGTTGTTCTGTACAGCTCATTGACGGTGATGGTATATACAATGTCTCTGGCATCGATCATTTCATTAAAGATGTGAAACTTGCAGACTGTGGTCTCTCTTATGCTGTTGTCTCCATTATGGGTCCTCAAAGCAGTGGTAGGCATTCTTTTAGAGAAGAGGGACTTTTGTTATACTCAGAATTTGTTTGAAAGTAGTTGGTTCATTTACAGAAACTTTTGTAATTTGACAGGGAAGAGTACATTATTGAATCATTTGTTTGGAACAAACTTTATGGAGATGGATGCATTTAAGGGAAGGTATGATTTCATCTGATAGTGTTTGCTTTTGACTTCCGTGTTCAAGTTTGTTACCTGATTAGGAACTCGTCTATAGGTCTCAGACCACAAAAGGTATCTGGCTTGCAAGATGTGCCGGTATAGAGCCTTGCACCCTTGTAATGGATTTGGAGGGCACCGATGGAAGAGAGCGAGGAGAGGTAATTTTTGTCTCATTGTTTTGGTTTAGTTTGCAGTATTGAATGGCTTTCTTGTACATAAGTGTTCTATAAATGGTGTCCTCTTTTGACCAAGCAGGATGATACGGCATTCGAAAAACAGAGTGCTCTTTTCGCTCTTGCTATCTCGGATATCGTCTTGATCAACATGTAAGATTGTAGTAGAAACATCAAATGTGCAGCTTTCGGCTTTGTTGAAGGAAAGTATTTCGTTACAAATTCTCAATGCTTGTACTTTTAGGTGGTGTCACGATATTGGCCGTGAACAAGCTGCTAATAAACCTCTCTTGAAAACTGTCTTTCAGGTAAATTTTGTGATGCTTAGAAAGTTAAAAACTCTTTATGAGAATCACAAAAATATTTGTTTACCGTTAAGTTTGAATCTTTGGAGTTGTGTTTGGCAGGTTATGATGCGATTGTTTAGTCCACGTAAAACAACAATGTTGTTTGTAATACGAGATAAAACCCGGGTAGACTCTCTTCTTTTTTCTATATCATTCTTCTTACATTGCAGGTATCCAACAGCTAACTGGTACAAACATTGTCTATTGATGATTCTTGCTGCAGACGCCGTTGGAAAATTTAGAGCCTGTGTTAAGAGAAGATATTCAGAAGGTATAAGAGAAGTGACTTTCGGCTAATTCCAAGTTGATATTCAAAGCTGAACACTGGTTGTTCTTCATTGTGACAGATATGGGATTCTGTTCCAAAGCCTGAAGCACACAAGGAAACTCCTCTAAGCGACTTTTTCAATGTATGTTATGCGACAGCTTGACTTATTAGTAAGAAAGGTTTCCAAATTGAGGAATTTCATGCTTGTTTTTCTCTTTGATGGTTAGGTTGAAGTTGTTGCTCTTTCCAGTTATGAGGAGAAGGAAGAACAATTTAAAGAGCAGGTGTGTGTATGTGAGAGGCCAGGCTTTTTGCAGATGCCTGATACTTATGTTGTGTATTTCAAATTGCATCTACTTCAATATTCAATTTTGTTTTGGAACTTAGGTTGCTAGTTTGAGACAACGGTTCATGCATTCTATTGCACCGGGTGGTCTTGCTGGAGACAGAAGAGGAGTGATTCCAGCCTCAGGTTTTGCATTTAGTGCAGATCAAATCTGGAGAGTCATCAAAGAAAATAAGGATCTTGACCTTCCAGCCCACAAGGTATCTTATAGTGCTAGCTTTAAACATTTTTTAACCTCCCTCTAAGCTCATTCTGCTTGCAGGTCATGGTAGCTACTGTGCGGTGCGAAGAAATTGCAAATGAGAAGTTTGCGCATTTCATTACAAACGAGGTAATGGTTCTGCATATCTTAAACTTTCACTCTTCTTCATTGTTTGAAAGCTGTCTTTGTAAGTCCCATAATCTCTAATTAACCTTTTTGCTTCATTTACAGGACTGGCGCCAACTGGATGAGGAGGTGCAAGCTGGTCCAGTTTCTAATTTTGGAAAGAGGCTTACTACCATTCTCGGATCTTGCTTATCAGAGTATGCACATTGATTTTAATCAAGCTACACACACACACTAGTTGAACTCAATATGAATGTCAAGATTAGTACTTTCATATAAGATTTTACTGTTGTTTCTTAAATCTTTCTTGTGGGTTTGATCTTCATAATCCTCTATTTTATTAGATATGACGGGGAGGCTACA